CTGGTGTTTATTGCCTGGTCTTTAGCTGCGACAAGTAGTTCCTTTGTTTCTCCTTTCAGATTTACTTGACAACCATTTGTTGGTGATGACTGTGTCTACCTGAGGCTTCTCTAGAATCCTGGGATACTGGCCATGCAATGCTTTGTTTTTGCACTTTTCTTCTTTCATGGATTTCATCTTAGACTTGAGTCTTAGCATTTTCTGAGGCTGATTTATCTTCTCTGTTCTCCTACTCTGGCATTGCTGTACTTCCCTTTTGAACTTAGTAGCATTCTTGTTTATTGCACTTTTGGCTTTAGATCTTTCATGTTCAAGCACCTGCTTTGGATATTGCCCTTCTTTGTCCCTCAGATAATGATTGAGCCCTATTGTTATTTTTTTGAAAGCTGTTTCTACATCAATCAGGCCCCTTCCTCTATCTTCTCTTGGGATGTACAGCCTTTCCACATCTGCAATCTTCTTCAATTCGGATTCAATTCAATGATGCCCAAACTATAATTCTCAACTGGGACTGCAAGACTATAGATAACTTCTATCTTTTTTCTTCCATTGAGCTCAGTTCTGAGGATCAATCTTACTCTCAATTATCATTATTTTCATTATCATTATTATTCGACGTGTACGTTGAAGGGTTGATATACCTACAATAGACAGATTGTGTCTGAACCTGGTTCGGACACAACCAGCCATCACATTGGGGAAGGCCGATGAAATAATGACCATTGTGACTCGCCTCTTAGTAGTTGCGAATTCGAAAAACTGTCAGCTTTTCGCTATTCTTTATATAAACGTGTCTTGCGGCAAGTCACGTTTATATCAAGGATCGGGATATTAATGGTTATGAGATTCAAACGATAAAAGTACCAAGAAAGGAAACAGAAAGGACTGGATTTTGAGCAAACACGAGCTCCAATATTCCTGTGGTTTTCAGGCGAACTGCCACGTGACAGGCAGCAAGAGCGAAGCTATCCAGCAGAAGATTAGATTTCGAAGTGACTCAAACTTTTCTCTAATTCTTTCAAAACACGCCAAGAAAAATATTTCTAACTGCTTACCAATGACATGTTTGGGGCACAGGTGACGTGCTTACACTTAATTATGACAACAGTCGTCTTAGAGATTGTCCTTGCTTCAGTTCGTAGAATTTGCACGACGATGGAGCCGCCATACACGCACACAAGACAGTGTTATAGAAAAAAGAAAAACCGTTTTCACGCCATACACTCTACAAGCCTGGGATGATGAATACGGCGTAGGCGGCATCTTGCTAAACGTTGGGTCCGATTATTATTTATAACTAATAGGTTTTACTTCTTATTCGATGAAAGATAATTATCTTCAGCTTATTACATTTTCTTATTAAAAGCTGTACTGAAACTGACAAGGGTGAAAACTCACCCCGTATGGTTATGGGCTGATTTCGAACGCGATGGACAGTACTACGTTTGGAAATATCCTCCACCCACACCATTATGATAATGATTCTTTTATTGTTGAGCTGCCAACTCATCAGCCGGCGATGAATTTTTCATACGACTAGTGGGGACACAATCAGAAATAAAGTAATTAGCACTCTCAATAAAATGGAAGGCATAAATTCCTTTTTATGATCATTGTAAAGTTTTAATCGAAAATGAATCCGTTCGTGGAAAACGCAGGAGTAATTAAATCTTCAAGAGCAAACCATGTATTATTGGTGGTTATTTTGTTCAACTGATTGAGTATATATGTAGCGGAAACTGTTCTGATCTGTGTTGAATAAATAAAAATGTTATGAGATGTTTTGAATTGTTTGTTCGGGAATATCTTAACAATTGTTGCCTTCGATATAGTTTCTTATCTAAAAGCCATGTAGCGAATGTCATTTAATATTGGATAAGCAGCAAGCCTTCCTTCTAACATGAAAAAAAAATCACTCAGATCACTGGATACAGTGAAACTCGTGCAACTGATATTTCTGAAGAGAAAGAGATGCGTTTGGTGTGTTTTACTGCTTTTGTTTAGTTAGTCATAAAATATTAAATTTTAAGTGTAACGATGATACAATATTTATTCGATCCCGTCGCCCTAATCACTACTTTAAAATAATTGGTTGATTTACTGTATAAATATTTTATCTTTGTAACATCTGCCGGACAGAATGAGGCCTCTTCTAAGGATCGTACTCGATGAGGAAAGGTTTGCAATTTTTCTTTAATTTGATGACTACAAATGTTTTCTAAGGAGAGTACAAAGTAAGGGTATTTAATTTACCATCACTATCACCGATTTTAGGCCCGAGAGAAATCGTGGCTTTGTTTTTTGAGCCATTTCTCCCTGAAATTGGACTTAGATTTAACTTATTTACATGTGCTGTAAGAAATTCCATAATGATAGAGAAGTAATAGGGATAGAGGAAGTGAACAAATAGACAATTTGCACGCAATAGTACGCACTAAAGTACTTGACTCGTAGAACAATGCTTCTATATGCCTGGATGAGTTATGAGTTGATAAAATCAAACCATTTCAAAAATTTCCAGGTTTTCACAGATGCAAATTTTGGAATATCTTGTATAGGAGGACACCCATGTACGAGGAGAACAGATGTTGAGGAAGTCAGTTTATATTAATCAACCGCCTTAAACCATGCTCTGAGTTAAGAAAGATATCTACAAAAACAAATTAGCGTTTATTGAAACGGAAAACGTTTAAAATTTTTGGAATATGAAATTTCAGATTACTGTCGGGTTGCGTAGAGTGATTTTTGGGGTTACGTGAAAGTGAACCAGGCGGAATCGCAAAAACAAGCTATGGAGCTCTTTCTTGGTCTCCCTAATAGAAAGCCCTCTGCTATGCAGAATAAATACAGATAAAATTTCAGAATTCGGAATATCCTATGCTTCAACATCCGCAAAAAAAATTCTATACGTATTTGAAAACAATGGGTTTTTTTTTTTGCTATAAATTATTTTTAAAACCGGTATTAATTATTTATAGGGGATATGCTTAGGCGTCGGAAGTTATTTAAACAATAAACCAACAGTTTACCGGCCAATAAACCGCGCAGGATGTTGGAAGAACACGAGGTGCAGTGGTTTAATTGCAGTCAAATCGATAGAAAGTGTCGTTTATTGCTTTTAGGACGTAAATACGAATGAAGTTTGTCAGAGAGAATGATAAATCTAATCATATTTAGTGATCAAGTCGCTGATTCTCATGAAACCCGTCAAAAAGTGTAATAACCAATCAAAGTGCCGGAATCTAAATGAACAGAAGAGCGAAGTTGCAATTTATTTACGGCTAAATGAAAGTAATGGTCAGAGAAACTTGAAAGAAAACTAACGGAAAATAGCGATGTGCAAGATGAAGAATTCTTCAATTTGGACAAAGAAGACGCCATTTTATGGCCAGAATTGGCCCACCATTGCGATTGCGATCTGATAATCTTTGCAGAAAGTTTTTGAAGTTTGCAAGCCATGGAAGCAGTTTTAATACTTTCGCTTTATTAGCGGAATAAAGGTCGGTTCTAGATTTTAAACTGGTGAAATTAATGAAATTAAATTAATCATCACTAATCGCGGTACACTATTTTCCTTTGAGCAAATTTGTTTCTGTTGCCTCAGCGAAAGACTTGGCTCAGACTAAAGCTTTCATCGAGTCCACGTTAAAATTTTCAGAAAGAGCCTAAAACGTCTAAACTTGACGAAAACTATCAAATGAAAGTTGAAATCGTGGACAGCAAACGGAATTGTCCTAAAATCTTGAGTGCACATTTACTTCCCAAGTGGTTTTTGTTGTCATGTGAGTAGGACCTACAGTAATAAATATCCAAATGAGAATCCAGTTAGTTTGTCGCTACATTTTTCTTGAATCAAAAACATGCCAACTTTTCCTACTCGGCGAGCAGTGTGGATATAACCACTATATACTATAGCCAGTATAACCATGCAGCGAAAAGTAAGGGGTTTAAACAGAGCAACCAGAAAAAAAAACTGCATTTTAAACAGAAAATTTGACAATGTTAGAAAAATAAAATCTTAGTAGTTGTTTATTGCTTTCAAAGTGTCCTCTTCGATAATTCTAAATCAAAGGCCTTCAACAAATTAAAATCTGGAAATTCGCCCCGTGCGGCGCCATTTTACAGGACGGTAGGATACAATAGTATATACTATAGATTTGTACTAACCAGAGCCCGCGTTGTGTCTAGCTACGTTACGTTATAAATACATATAAGTATTTAGAACACCTGCCTTGTGGTTTTACGAAACTGAGCTGATAACACTTAAGCTCATATGGAAATAGATTAAAATGATAGTGATAGGGGTGATTTTGAAATAATGTTGTTCAGATGAAAAAGAAAGACACAATTTAAGGACTGCTGAGGTATGTTTCTTTGCTTTCGTAGAGAGAGATAACAGACTTGTTTTCTTTTCAGGGATATTTAGATCTTTGATCAAAACAAAAATAATCAACATAAAACAGATCGCTTCTTACTTCAGCTGAGATGATATCCTTTATTCTGTCTTGTTCGCTGTTCTTGATATCAGGTAAAAAAGTTCCTAATTGTTTGTTATATGTGCATGAGCCATATTCTGAGAAGAAATTGAGATCGCGGCGGAAGTAGTCGAACAGTCCCTATCACTTGGTGACTGTACGACACAAGTTGTACCAAACAAAATCAAGTAGACCACTCGGCAAAGCTCCGCTTGGAAAAAGTCGTAATGTACTTCCAATATGAATTTCGTCTGACCAACAGGAAGGACTTTCCAGGAACTGATTTTTATAATCAACAGCCAAAGCATTAAGCTCATGCACCTTTGCTATATATGTATTTATTGAAGAGCTTCATAAGGGTGAAACACATATGTTAAATCCTCGTGTATTGAGAGGGTGATCAAAACAACATCTTTTGTTTCAGTATTTGCTGTTACGGATGCAGAAACATGTGCCATCCAAAATATATCTACCTGGACAGGTATATTTCAGCCTCAAGACTATCCACAACCCTACAAACCAAACATGGACTGTTACTGGCTCGTGCAAGTGTCACAGGGAAATCGCATTGAATTAAACTTTCGAGATTTTGCGGTAAGAACGGCTATCGCTTCAAACTATGTATTTGATGTACCTTTCTGAAAGTTGTATTGTAAGCTATAACGTTCTTTTCTCTTCTCTTGTAGATGGACGCCGTTCCGGTATGATCTTTTTTCCCTACCTTGAACTCTGATTACATCTGATATTTGACACGCATTTCCATTACCAAGTGACTTAATCTTTTACCTCACATCATCACGTCGAAATACTGCCGAAGCAATTCTTTTTCTACAATAATGCAGGTGTTTCACAAAGTAGATATTAAAATCGAGGAAAAAAAAAGAGAAAAAAAGTTTCCAATTTCTTATTACTAAACAGATTGAAGAAGCTGGAAATTGTCCAAATGACTATGTTGCGGTAATAGAAGGTTCCTTTGGAAGCACTGACGTTATAAGGCGCCTTTGTGGCAGCAATCAACTGCCATCTAATCAGTCAACTATTATTTCTTCGAGTAACTCACTCCTTGTGCATATGCACACAGACAGCGTGAACGGGAACCGAGGGTTTGTAGCAGACCATCAAGGTAGGAATACTTTCTAGTTATGTCACGCTTTCGAGTGGTATTCCATGGAATATTCTCTAAAACAATTGTATTTTCTCAATATGTTTTCTTAATATGTAATATGTATACTGAGAACAAACCGTGCCATCATTCCATAGTATACAAGAACAAGCATCGCAAAACTACTTCAAACCATGCATCAGAAATACAGCGGGGGAACAAAATCAATTCAAGCTGCCCTCAGACCCATTTCAAATGACTTTGAACGCCTTGAAAGCGATTTTAACATTCTTTCGATGACTTTCAAAAGTTTAATTAATTAAATTTATGTCACAGAATACAAGAAATACATTATAATTAAAGATATAATGGTCAAACGCTTTGATAAATCTGGAATAAAACTGCAGCATATAATGTGAAGGTAAAGTGTAACACAATGGAGTAAGCTTTCCTGTACTCTGATTGGCTTCATTTTCTACGCCATGGAATAAAAGGCAGATGTTGGGTCTCTGCGTTTTGATCATTAATTGCATCAATAAAATCCTTGTTAAATTTAGATTCGTTTTAGATAAACATACGCTTAATCGTTTGGGTCAAGATCTGAAATTACTTGTAATATTAGATCGAGAATCGATACGGTTGGACTACATTACTGCCAGTCAGGCGACGAAGATGAGCATTGCTGTTTATGTAAAATAACTATTAGTTAATCCTCCATGTTTCAGGAATTTCGATTCCGCTGCCTTTGTTGATGATATTGCCATGAATTCTTATTTTGATTACCTCTTGAACTTTACACTTGGATCAATGAGAGCGCACCAAAATGTATCAAACTATAAAACCATCATGCTATGGCGACGTGTAATCATTCAATCGCAAATAAAGACATCTTTAGCCTCAATAAAGTTCTCAGTTGATAGCGCTGCGGAATCATGTTTCGTCCAAGTTTGTTGATAAGGATAGAGTCAAGAAGGTGCAAGGCAATCCGGCTACTCTTTAAAAAATATCTTTTAAATCGAACACTGGACTTCTTTTAAGCATATATCTATATTTCTCCAGGTATTTGCAAAGTGACTTTTTCGACGGTCAATGGAACCATTATGTCCCCAAATCATCCGCAAAACTATCCAAATGGTGTTAAATGCGAGTGGATTATAGACCTTGGTTCTGGATATGACATCACGCTTACATTTCACAAATTTGTGTTGGAAACAAAAGAAAATTGCGAATATGATTGGGTAAAAGTGCAGGAAGGAAACACCGCAGACGCACCAGAAAAAGGCACTTTCTGTTCAAATAAGCTGCCTCCAGATATATTTACAGAAGGACCGATGAGGATCGTCTTTGAAACGGACGGAGACAAAGAGTATGAAGGATTTCATATGACATGGTCAGCAGAGGGTAAGATAATCCCTGTGAGAAATGTCTTTTATTCAAGGTATTTAAAAGCACAACTTGATTAATGGAATGGTAGTGCTTCTCGGAACGGATAGCAACTGTGATCTGACAATAAGTCGTGCATACAAAGAATAATTTTTTTAAAACTCTAAACCCGTCATCCTCATTATTGTTAATAGACGAAAACGAATGCCTTGACTCCGGTACCTGCCATGCCAATGCCACTTGTGTTAACACCCCAGGCTCCTATCAGTGTACCTGTATGCTTAGTTACACTGGGGACGGTAAATCCTGTACGTGGTACAAAGGTAAAAAATCGCAATTAAATTGATCAATCCTTAAAAATATTCAGCTTTATACAAAGGGTAAATTGAAAGATGTAGAAAACACGTAGCTTGTTCCTTGAAGGGACTGAAATACCGTGGTATATAAAGTGCGTGTTACAGAGAAAGACGTAGGGGAAAGGATGAACAGTTACATGCAAGAGCGGACAGATTCATCTGAAACAATCATAAAAAGTTCAAATTTCTTCTGTTTTAATGAGCCCATACGCGCATATAAAACACTTAAGATCCTCTAAATAATTGACTCAGAAATTTCATTAAAAAACTGTCATTTTATCTTGGTTATAATAAACAGCTGACAAAGAATTATTGACCGAGGTGAAGGTCAATAATAGTGGTGGTGGCTTCCTCGGAGGCTGATGCAAAAGTACATTTGGAGTTTGAATAGCCATCAGAGTGCGCCTTCAATGCTATCCACTGTTTACATTTTGTACATACATTTATCTGATTGTGCTTTGCCTGATATTTTACAGATTTTAATGAGTGTGACTTAAACCTTGATAACTGCCATGAGGACGCGCTCTGTATAAACACGCTCACCCACTTCGAGTGCAGGTGTAAACCTGGCTTTTTAGGAGATGGCCTTCACTGCGTTGGTAAGTGCAGTTCTCTTATACCTGATTGAAAATACATCATCTTACCAAAGCAAACTGAACTTACAAGGCGACAGTTATTCATCTTTGAGAACTATTTGCCAGGTCCGTTTCTTTTCTCCCCTTCGAGTACACCATTTCGGATGTATCACTGGTGGTTTACGCCTATAATGAGACATTATTCTTCTTACTTAATGACCTCAGCTTTAATTCTACTATCACACCACAGTCAGAGTAGCACAACATTTCTACATTGTGTTATTTCCAATGATGTTGGTTGGGCTCTTGAGCTTCGTTTAAATCGATATACTTTAGGTCTTACATAAAAAGATTTAGCGTTTTCCGCATATAAGGGTGGATTACAAATTTCATTTGAAATTACCACTGTAGAGTCAGAGCTTTCGCAGTTTATCCAAACAACTGTCTGTGTTTTGCTCCGCCCACAGGCTTTGATCACCAAATTTCTAACGGTGCTGTATGTTTTTCAGATATCAATGAGTGCAAAAATGCTGAATTGGCCTACAAGCATAACTGTCATATGAATGCCAGCTGTACTAATACACATGGATCGTTTCTTTGTACGTGCATATCAGTGTACACAGGAGATGGTGTCACGTGCACAGGTACCATGTCGTAAATAATAGAAGTGCCTTGAATGAGAGATAAAATTTTAATAACTTATTCTAAACACTTTCAGATATAGACGAATGTCGAGTGGACACTCATAATTGCCATGCAGATGGTGTGTGCATAAATACAGACGGCTCATTTCGGTGTGAATGTCAAATGGGATATTCCGGCAATGGAGTCCTTTGCTCAGGTAGAAACAGGGTGTGCATGTATACAACAGAAAATCAGGGGACATTGATAGAAACTCTTAGTCCAGGCCACGGAACACGTCAATTTCATTTACGTTATTTATAGAAATTCCTAAAGAACGAAAGTATTTTTTTTTCCAAGAAGTCGGCTTAAAGAGTGACATCGATCCGTTTCTGTGAATAAACGACCGCTATCAGCTTCCTTTGCATGAATTGGGGTTCCCAATTAAAAATAGGAAAATAAACTCGCAAATTGGAAAATAAACTGGGCAGATTGCCTTAATTGCCGGTGAGTTACTCTTCCTTATTGGAGAACAGCGAGGAGATTTTTTTTCTGATTCAAATAACTTCGGAAAAGATAAGCTACGTAGATAAACTGCGTTAGGAATCCACAGTGTGGACGTCCGGGGAAGCAGACTTACGCTGCTTGCAACGCTGAGAATACCTTGGAAAGCGTCATTTTTGACATTTCTCTGATTGTGCCCCTCTGTCCCCGTATTTTCTCGTGATATATAATTGCGTTTCTTCAGGCATACCTCAATGACCTTATACGAGCATTACCATATATGCAGTTGAGTATTACTTATGATCATGACCTCAATCTGAGGAGATCCTTGTTCGTGTCTTTAGAGCAGGTTATTTTTTTTATTTTTTTTTTTGTTTTGTCATCAATGGTCTCGGCCTAAAAGTAAAGGCTGCCCAAACAAGATTACTTATAGAGTGCATTTTTTAATGCATCTAATTATCTTTTCATATTTTATATAAAGACGTCGACGAATGCACCGAAAATACAGACAAGTGTCACAATAAGGCCACTTGTGCCAATACCAGAGGATCTTATGTCTGCACTTGTAAACAAGGATATAGTGGAGATGGCGTCAACTGTGCAGGTTTGTTGAGGAGTAATAACTACGAATGATGGTTAAATGCCGCCAAACTGCACGTTTCTCTAACTTTATCGTTGGTATTTGCTTTGTTAAAGCGTCCAAGTTGAGAGACAGAAGAGTATAATGGTTCGTCCTTCGCTAGTTTCGTTCTCAAATACTATGTGGGTTTCATGACACTCCTGCTCTTACCTAAGATGCCGGTTTTTGACAAACTTGATTTTTTTTGGCATTTTTCGCTCACTATAACGTAATATTCATTATCGACGAAGTACTTTTCAAGAAGGTGGTGCTGTTTGATTTCAGACATAGACGAATGCTCCCTTAGTCTTCACAACTGTCATGCAGATGGACACTGTAACAATACTGAGGGATCATACTATTGCACTTGTGACAATGGATACACGGGGAACGGAGTTTCATGTACTGGTAAGAGTTATCAAAAGATATCATACGAATACTTAGTATACTGCATGGATTTAATAACCTAATTCAAATAGTATGTTTGTTGTAATATGACATTGCCCCAAACAAATCGGGCTTTACAAAGCAAACCGTGAGCCTTGCAAAGTACTGGATTTGACCGAAAAGTGTGTAATGTCATATTCAGCGAACACAATATGGATCAGGAGTTACTCGCATATAACCCAAATCGTCCCACCATTCGCGATACAGACGCATTGTAACACTACCTCTCAACAGGACCTAGCTTCAATGCACCAATTAAGGTAAGAGGATTTATCATTGTGTCAATTTGCATTATTTTTTCATTCAGAACATAATCTGTGGCTAACTGTTGAAAACAAACCTTTTGCAAGTTTTTCAGTGTATTTAAACATGTCTAAGCCGCTTTAGCGTCTCGACTACGACAGTCAATGATGAACAAAGTCAACGGTACTGAAAGCGATCAGAACAAGTTTACTATATTGTTCAGGTAACTGCTATAAAATGCTCGTATTATTCCTGTTAGTTGATACTCACTTGGGAGTATGATTTATATTCACTTTGGGAGGACTAAAAAATTGGGTCTCAGCACTGGCTGTCGTAAAATGGTGTCTCTTGGCCTAGGAATGAAAATGAGTGCCGTCCAAATATCATGCTCGGGAAGGCTGAGTTGCCATAATCCTGGTCACTTATCGCTGCAGAAGACATAATAAAGTCCTTAGGCTATGTGAGCCAGCCTTTTCTGCATACAGTTGTAATTTACCATCGACATAATGATGAGACAAGTCAGCAGGGTTTAAAAATGGGAACACGTAAAGACCAAATTTCTGCATTTTGTAAATGATATCATTTTCAGTACCTAGTAAACCAGATCATCATAAGTTTCCAGAAAACATGGGCAGCTCATTTACTCTTACGTTTGTGTCATCAGTAAAACTGAAGGTTGGTTTTATTTTTTTTAGGAGATATATCAGAGAGCAAGAAATTATCGGTAGCGGAATGGGCAGAGAGACTTAACCGTGTATGTCTTTGCCCGACCATCTTATGTGGAGTCCGTGTATAAAAGTGGGTATCACATATGATATTAGTGCACTATTACTGACTGGCTGAAATCAAGGCATCCCTATTGCAAAATAGAATTTCAGCCAAAATAATAATCTCACATATGTAGATTGAGTCCATCGCTCCTTTCATTGTAATCGTAAATCAAACTGAAACTGATGCAACTAACATAATGTGCTTTTAACTGTTAATTGTACTTTTATTCCTAAAAATCAGTTAATCGTTGCTAATGTACTAACCTGGCGGTTACTTTCTAACATGCAGGGTGAAGGTCGCTTCGCTTCCTGAAAGGTTTTAACAATACCTAACGCTTGCTTTAACAAGCATCGATATCGATGCGTGTTAATTTCATCTTGCTGTTTATGAGTGCGTTACCATTCTCTACACTAACCTTTTAAAAATATAGGTGCATGTAACACTTCATAAAATTTGTTCTGAGGCACAACAGAACAGAACCCCCGGTTAGTTCATTAAATCTATCTAAACTTTGTGGCAATGACAAACGCAGAACATTTTTAGGGAAAGTATATGTAGGTATATATAACCCAACTAATTTTCGTCTCCACCATTAAAAATCATGGATAGTAGTATGCGTCGTAACGCTTTCTGAAGTATAAGTCTCGTTAAAGCGATTTAAAGACCTTGGATTTTCTTAATGTTTTATGTGTAAAGAATTATATATGGCTCAAGTTAATTATATATTTTCAGGCCTGAGATTTGTTTTCTCTGGTACATGTAATTAGCTGTCTTTATCCTCGACTTTTTTTACGTAGCTCAGATTAGATTTGAGAAAGATTTAAAACTGAATACATTATTAGACAATAAGCCTTCTCGTTAAAGGTCGATGATAGTCGATCTTGATCTTTTGTTATCTCCTTTCACTTAGATAATCAATTGGCGTAAGTCTAGCAGCACTACGTAACGGAACAATCAGCACTATACTCATGTCACATGACGTGGAGGTACTTGTTTAGGTTCTCGATAACTCTTTTTTTCATTGTTTCAATGGTTCTGATTGTGGCTTCATGATGACTAACTGAAAAATTCTTGCTGTAACGAATTCTTATTCACGAGGGAAGGTTGCAAAACTGATTGTGCTAAAACAATTGCACGGAAAGGGACATTTCCCCCTTTGTACATGCACTGGCGAGATTCTACATTCGCGCTGGTTATCCTTATCGTTACTAACACATGTCATACTGCCCCTAATTAATCATTTAAATGTCTAATTTGCGTTCGTGCACTGTTCTTTGTGGTAACCCCTGATCCATTGCTGTCTTAATATTAATGCTCCCAACGTGTTTCGTTAAAATGTCTGTTCTATGGCTAACTGTAACAATTATGATGCTAAATGCTGCGATACCAGCCTTAAATTTAAGAAAAATGTATCTGTATACTACTTGTAGTGTGAGTGATGGTCATGATTTGCCCTAGATCAATTTTCACAAAAAATCGAAGGTAAATTTGATGACGTACCCAATAGTAAATGCAAAGGAATTTAATCAAGCGGTAGAACACATTTTCCCACGCGAGAAAGGCTAGTAAAACACAAGCTGTAAGGTGAGTGATTTAAAAAAATTTTGTTTTAAAACCGGGAAAATGTGGACTACTGCTTTTATGACACAACTGTGCTTGTGATTTAACTAGAGGACAATGAATTTAGCGCCTGTTCGGGATTAAGTCACTGATTCTCATTAAACTTGTCAAAAAGTGCGACAAACCAATCGAAGCGCGCGCAAGGAATTAAACAACCGATTAGAATGACAATAAGTGGATTAAAGACTGAAATAATATTAAGAATCCCAACGGAAACTGCTATAAGGAAAATTTGGGGGGATTGGTAAAATACAAAACAAAAACCTTAATTTGCTGCTTAAGAATATTAATTTTGGACAAGGTAAACGCTATCTTTGTGGTTAGAGTATAAGTCTTCCTCAACAATATTCAACTGACGCGTACGGAAAGTTTGCAGGTGCAGCACAGTTTTTGAGTGCTTTTTTTTTCGGAAAAAGGGTTGGTGACAAACTATAGCCGTTACTGTTTTTTTCCCCCATTTTAGAAAACAATTCTGGACTCTTGAGGACCTGAATTCGCTGCATTTTAACGAATTAAAAGCCGCGAAATCGAGCCACAACAACACGAGCTGTGTTTAGAAGTTTGACTGCCGTTAAACCACTTTTATCGCATCTACTTAGATAAGAAATTCCTGAAGCCTTTGTTGGTTGCTCTAAGATCAATCCAAAAATACAACCATCAGTACTTGTAATTTGCTACAATCGTGACTCATGACTTAACATTGATAATTATGTTTGAGAACGGTCTTAGATAAGTTAAACTTTTACTGCATTCTATCTACGAATAATGAAATTCACTTTACAATCTAAAATTTAAGATGCAAGAACCATTTTGGTTATTCTCTCGTTTCTCCTTAAGGCGGGGTTGTCGCAAAGAGATTAGGCTGTCGGCAGAAATTTTAAGTTATGCGGTTTATAGATGGCTCTTCATAGAAGGTGCTTTGTGTGAAACGGAAGACCCGGCCTAGTAATGACATTTTGTTCACAGTCATTGGCAAAGCTGTGATTTTGTACCAACCAAGTTTCCTGTTTACAAAATGGTGATCACAATGGACAAGTGCTTAAAACAGCGTTTTATTTCAGCTATATTTAGTATTCGTGATAGTTGCACTAATACTAAGGTTGGTCAGGCACATATTCAGATTTTTTCGTTTGGACTATCGCCGGCAGGTGGTGTTAGCGGCAACCCTGGTTCGCATCCTTCTGTTTGTTATCCTTAAATGAAACTGGAGAACCTTTTAAACTTTACTGTTGAAATTTGACGCTGTTTATTTTTAGATATGGATGAGTGTGAATCTGTAGGTGACGTTCCTTTTGGAAACAACTGTCATGATTACGCCAACTGTACCAACACTAAGGGATCATTTCAATGCACGTGTCATACGGGATACTCTGGTGATGGAGTTATTTGTGTTGGTAAGCTCTTAGTCAGGGAATAACGCCAAAAAACGAACCAGCAAGCTTTAGTATAATTACCCAGGTCATAACAGAGATTCTCTTGCTCAGATAGGTTGCACATTGCTTCATATCTCGCCATAATCACTTCGCGTGAGGAGACCATAGCGGGGGCGCTGAATTTCAAAATGGCTGGCTCGCGTTTAGTCAATGTTACCAAGGAAATGATAAACGCGATAGAATAATACGAGATTCTTCAGAGTGCAAAAAATGCCACTAAGGTGGGCGCAACACTTTTCAAAGTTAGAACTAGAGGTTTTCGCGGATTTAACGAAATAAATCTGTCAAATTCTAGTGAAAAAACTGGTTGCTTATCTCGAAACGGGTTCTCAAAACAATTGTAGAAAAAAATGCTTAGTGCTTTCTTTATTTACAGTATGGTTTCAACAACTAAACGAATTCACTTCAAAATTCGAAGCGCGAAGGTAAACGAAAGTTAACGAAAGCTTTACCTCTCCGTAAGGAGAAAAGACGGCTAGCTAGCTAGTTGTCATTGTCAGCTACTCTCGACCGTCAACTCAAGTCATCACCACACCACAAAATTTCCATTTGCGATAACCACTTGCTTAGCGAAGCCAATTAAACACCCATTTCTTACCTCCGAGGGCAAAATAGCTGGCACAGTTCATGAAACTCCAATAACTAGTGAAACTATCAAGATGACAAAGGTGAGTTAACTGATGTCAACAATCACTACTATCTGGTTCTTCCTCTCCAACTTCTTCTGTAAAAGAGGATGGGAAAGTAAACATTGACTAAAGAACTCGATGATTTGCCTCATGGAAACAGCTGATGAAAAATGTTCTCTGCATTAAACAAGATCGAGATGGGAGCGCTATTGACAAGCAAAAACCATGCTCACACAGCTGGCCTCTTTAAGGAGAAGTCCAGATTACGTCCTGAAGCTGTATTTTAGCCATCTAAATTCAAACTTTAGCTCCGCGAAGTTCTCTCTCACAACAAAAATTTGATATGAACAAAGACAACTCGGGGACAATATGTTAGAAACTACGCAGCAAAAGATGACAAAGAAAGCAGCGATCTTCAGTTCCTTATCTGAAAAACCGTTCGACAACAATTACAGTCTTGTCCGTCCAAAAATAATATAGAAACATATAAAATCAAGGCTATCATAAGCACAAAAACGATACAAGTATAAAAGCTACTGTAAGCGACACTCAGGCATTTAAACAAATGTCATCAAAAGCAAAGAGGGTCCCGAAACATCTCTTTCGGTTCACAACATTCATGACTACTTTTCCCGCAGTGCACTCCTCAAGAGATCAATGATTGCGATTGGGAAGAAAAGAATATTACCTTTTGTTATCCTCCTGTTTGAATTCTGCAGCATCTATTCCTTTTTCCTGAACAAATTAGAGTAGACGTAAAAGAGAGTGGTCGTAACAGCCTAAACTGTGAAATCAGTGCGACCCTTTGTTTAGCCAATAAGTCACCTCTCCTTACCCCTCATCCTAATTTTCTACTTCTACTCTTTTGGGCTACATACCCAAGGATACCCAAGGATACCCAAACACCGAACAATTCTCTCTTGAAACCTGCTGAGCACGATTTAAACCATGTGGTGGAAAGTTTCCGTAGGCATTGAACAAACAATAGCGTCATCGTCCTAAGACAAATCGGGAAATTTTGGTATCGCAAATTTACAAATTGCTCGTTTACGTTCACTGTCGACGCAAACAATGGCGTTTAAAGTTTTTGACTGAACCAGCCGCAACTTACTTCTTTTTAGACATTTTAGCACCACATTTTCCCTCGTTCATTCAGTTTTTTGCTTCAATCATGTGCAGCTATAGATTGACCATTTGGTCAACGCAACAAAGTCCATGTCTCTGTTCTTCGATGTGTGACGAGTATTTGCTGTAATACTCACCTGTTAAAAATATACTACACAAAATATTCGATTCAGGATCAGAGAATATAGTTGATAATCCCCAAAACGAATTCGAGGCGAATATTCAAGAATATTTCACTGAGCCTGAAGGGAATAATCGTTAAATTCTCATAGTTTTGGATGCAGTTTTAATAACGAACCCGAGGTTGAGGTAATAATTAACAATCTTTAAATCGTACATTTTGTGATTATTTTATGCGATAAAAGTTTGAGTGGCTTAAAACTAAAAAGACCGCCAAACTCGTTTTGGCTACAGTCAGTTAGGTCGCCCCGTATGATATAAACCGTTTTGCCTTGTATGTGTGTTTATACATGACAAAGCTAGCTAGGAAAACACCTTGACTTCTTATTTTCTTTATCAAGATATCAACGAGTGCGACCGACTCGGGTTGTCAACTGAACATCAGCAACTGGGCCATGTTTGTCATGATGATGCTAACTGTTCAAACACTAAGGGATCTTACTTTTGCACCTGTCTGGACGGATATTCTGGAAATGGATTGCACTGCGATGGTGAGACACCTTTAAATTAAGTGGACTCAAATAAAGCAGGCTTTATTTCTGGACAAATTTGCTCAATGTAAAAAAAATTATGAAAAAAGGTAGCCTGGACTATTTTCTTCTGGTTGAACGTCGTCGCTTTTGCTATCATGAATTTCTAGGTATTTTTTCATGCTCTTTTTGTGGACGTTTGTTCGGTTCTTGTCTCATAAGGGGTACGTGAAATACCAACCCAGAAGATGACTTTTACATTACCGCACTGTAATCTAATATTATTCATTTGTTAGATCTCGATGAGTGTTCAACTGATAGACATAACTGTCGTGTTACCGCCAACTGTACCAACACAAAAGGATCATTTCACTGCACGTGTCCTTCGGGATACTCTGGTGATGGAGTCGCATGTGTCGGTAAGACATAGGGATAGAAATAGTCATTGAAAGAGAGAGAAATTTAAGTTATTTTCTAGTTGAATAGTTTAACATTTGTTATGTATTTTCATGTAGAAAGTAATGGTTGTAAGCTAAAACGATGGAACAAATGTTTATTTAAACGATGATTGGAAGGTACTGTATATTATCATATTAAAGGAAAAGAGACAGGAAAACAAATAAAAGGAAAATAGGCTACTTATGCCTAAATAGATAGATCTCGTATATTATGCTAAAATACGGACATCTGAATTTGGAGTTCTCAGTTACAAAATTGACAGAACCTTACCAGCTTTCGTGCATTTCTAGCAAATGTAACCGAATTATCGGAGTAATAAGTTTAATTCTGTTCCTTAGGACAGCAAACGGAAATCTGCTTTTGTTTGATAACTACCCACTAATCAATGGCAGGCTTGTGTTAGAAATCGAAACCTCTCGATTAATTCTACTATTTGCTTTCTTGCTTTATTGCCCCACTCACTACGATGTACTTAAACATCCATTTGTGTTCCTAGATGAAAAAAACAAAACAAAACAAAACAAAACAAAAAAAAAAAGAATTCCATTCTATCAAGAGCACGTTTATTTTCCTCCCATAATGTTTAAATTACGTTTTTACAAAGACATTAACGAGTGCAACCGACCCGGGTTGTCAGCTGAGAACCAAGACTTTGGCCACATTTGTCACGATGATGCTAACTGTACAAACACTGAGGGATCTTACCTCTGCGCATGTCTAAACGGATTTTCTGGAAATGGATTATACTGTGATGGTGAGGAAAGTCATAGATGAATTAGCACGCGCTTTTATTGGTAGATTGAAATATGGGTTGGGATTGCCTTTGGGTTCACGGTCCCTGATAATGGAATTGTGTCATGATGTTTGATATGGATGTCTCGGTGCGATCTCTCGATAGGAAAAAATTGCTCTGTTTACCTACAAAATGATCTGTTGTTAGGCGGTAATATTTTTAAGGACATTATCTAAAAAAAGTGGCCAGTAAGAGGGTCCTTTAAACACCTACGGGTGTCAAAAATAAGCTGCGTTGAGTGTGAAACTTTCAACTGAGTAAAGGTATAAATAATTCATTCTTTAGATATCAATGAGTGCTCAAATGGAAAACACAACTGTCATCCTATTGCTAACTGCACCAACACCGAAGGATCTTTTCATTGCACTTGTCACTCAGGATATTCTGGAGATGGAGTTTCCTGTTCAGGTGATAATACATGAGTTTATTATGTCGCTTAGTGATCGTTGCACCACTTATAACTAGGTTCTGTCCTTTTCAAAACCTTCATTCCCTCCATCAAAACTTTATGCCAAAACGATACACTCAAATTGACAATTAGAACCTTTCTGTCAAGTACGTTACTGGGACCATTATAACTATGTAAAAGTTGAGTTTTCCCGTCGCCTGACGAGTAATCTTATCTTATTAGATATCGATGAGTGTGTAACTGGAAGACACAACTGTCATGCTGACGCCAACTGTACCAACACTAAAGGTTCATACTATTGCACCTGTCATACGGGATATTCTGGTGATGGAGTTACCTGCCAAGGTAGGCTGAATGTTATCAATTTAGTACTAAAAGATTGGAAACCCTCGATTTTCTATATCCTTTATAGAAGATTTTTATAATAAACTTTACTCTCAGATATAAAAGAATGTCAGTCTGAAAGTCTGGCGCCTCATCACAGCAATTATCGTCATAATTGCCATGAAGATGCAAATTGCACAAATACCAAAGGATCATTTTATTGCACGTGTCATCGCGGCTTCTCCGGAAACGGTGTAAGTTGTGAAGGTAAGTAAACATCGACGATGAAATGTGTTTCTTCGTAAAAGAAAACATCAGATCACTTCTGTCTTGGGCCTTGTTGATTTCCTCTTCACCAATCGGTAGCTGAGTAATAAAAAAATTTTCTGAACAGTACTCTTACTCGTAGTTATGCAATAGAACCTATGGATGTGTAACAGTCTCTCGCTGAAAGTGGCACATATGATTGACCGCTTAGTTCGTCGTCATTCGTAAACACACGGCAACAGGTCATAAAATAAGAATCAAGTAACACCGTCGGCTTAATTTCTGTTGGAGACATCTCGCTACAGACGGTCCACCAGTTTGAGTTCGACTATAATATCATGGCATGTCACGGTCCAAAACTGAAATGAGTAAAAATGACGCTAGTAGCAACAGGGAAAGTAATTCAAACGAAGAATTGTAGTTCATATAATCATTTGAATCTAATGATAACTTACACAGAATAAAGAGTTCATAATAAAATAAATACGTTTTCCCTATTTAGATGTGGATGAGTGTTTTCCTAATCTGAACTCTAGCCAGCATGCTTATTTGACTCATAATTGTCACGATGATGCAAACTGTACCAACACAAAAGGATCCTTCTACTGCACGTGTCTTAATGGTTATTCTGGTAATGGAGTAACTTGTGTAGGTAGGTAAAGGATGTGTCATCATGCCATTAATGTCACCAACAAAATCAATCTATTCACGTCGGTCCTACCCAAGCAAGCGTCATAGGCTAAACTGTTTGAACCGTATTTTCACGTATACAGGATTTCAAATGCCATCTGGTTTGATTGACCGTCAGATGGGCAGAGTAAGAATGGCATCCTGTCAACGGAAATTTTTCCCACATGAGAACTATAGAGGAGGAGCAGATCCTGGAACTCCTGATCCATATCTCGTATCCTCTGTTTGATACGAGTAAACTGCATTAATTGATAACAAATTGCATCACAGAGCTCCTGATGCAATTTGCATGGATTTCAAAGAAATAGATACTCGGCTTACTTATCAAGAAATAGGGAGTGAACATAGCATGCTTAGTTGCATTAACCTTCCAGATCTTCAACTATATTTTTGTTTGCCAAGGTCATTATTAGATATAATAGATAGCGATCGTAAATTGGCATAGTGGTTTTAGTTTGTTTCAAACATGTTCGGGCTTATTTTTTAAACTATTCTATGGTGTGCATATAGTGCCACTTTTTTTCTTTCCCCAAAACACTGGTTAGACCATAGGAGAAATTTCTCCCTAAAAGTCATTGACTTACTTGAATTTTCAAAATCTTCATGAACAGCTAACCACAGCTGAATAGAGGAATTAACTCATTGCATAGTATGTTGTCATTTTTTTAAACTGGAATTTTGATTTTGTTGCATATCAGATATAGATGAATGTGCTACTGAAGTAGATAACTGCCACCTGAATGCTAATTGTACCAACTCGAAAGGATCATTCAACTGCACTTGTCATACGGGATACTCTGGACATGGTGTTTCGTGTCAAGGTAATGCTTGATCAAGAAAGCTGTTTTTACATGTTCTGTAAAGTTTACACATTGCAATGGTATTCAGTGGTCGAACAACACCTGATGAACATTTTTTCGGGCAACCATAACTAAATTTAATTTTTTTCAAATTACGAAATAGAAAAGCGAAACAGTTAGGAAGGCAAATTAGAGTAATCAAACTGGGTTGATCTTATCAAAACCTAAGAAAGGAGTTTATTGAGCCATATTTCATACTTGAATATCGTAAATTACTTAACAGAGACACATTAAATTACAACGTTATATTACATTTCTGCTTTAATACAAATAACACGACGTTATACCTTATAACGCTACAATTTTTACCGAAAATAAAATTTAAAGTAAACTCAAAATTGCAATGTAGATTTAATTTATCACCCATACTTCTGTACGAAACACTATTATTAGACTTCTTAGAAACGTGTAAAAAGCAGAAAACATGAAATTAATTTAGACTTTGCCCTCATAGATATCGATGAATGCACGTCTGGAGCACACGAATGTCACGCTGACGCCAAATGCACCAACACAAAAGGATCATTTTACTGCGCGTGTCATTTGGGCTACTCGGGAGATGGAGTGATCTGTGAAGGTAAAGTTAACGGTCGTTATCAGAGAGACATTTTATTATCGCTTAGTTTTCTATCAACGAGAGCTTCACCTCTTTAATGCTGTCTACTGGTAAATAGATAACAGACAACCCTGCGGCTACTTATTTTTAAATAATCACAATTTTTAGATTTACAGGGCCGTAGCTAGCATGAGGAAAGACGAGGCAATTGCCTCGCCTTGATTTTGGCCAAAGATTGACTTTTCTGAAGAAAAATGCCACGGAAAATGCTTAAAAGAGCATTTCTGAGCCTTTATATTTTAAAATATTCGGGGGGGGGGGGGGGCGGGGCGGGGGGCATGCCCCCGTAAGCCCACTGGCGGCTCGCGCCTTCGGTGCTCGAAACTTGCCTCGTCTTGTTCTGAAGTCTGGCTACGGCCCTGATTTAAATCTCACAGCAGAAAAAATTTCAAGTTTTGGTGAACCAAGATGTGGTGGTATGTGAAACAATTCCTGTGCTTGCACTGTAATTCTATGATAAGATATATTGAGTTGAAATGTGTACTCTATAAAAAAAAGGAAGATGTTATACACTTAGTGATGTTTTTGTATGTTTTAATTCTATAGACGTGAATGAATGTTTTCCTGAAAAAATACCAGATGAACACGACTATCTCGAACACAACTGTCACAGTGATGCCAACTGTACCAACACTAAAGGGTCATTTCATTGCACCTGTTATACGGGGTATTCCGGAAATGGGGTCGTATGCACAGGTACCTTTGTGTGTGTATGTGGAGAAGGAGTGTGTCTTGAATGAATCGTCACTGACGTTTACCAGATTTTCTGGAAAAGCATTAAAACATAGGGCTGGCGAAACATTAAACCTGACATGGCCTATTTTTATTCCAAAGATATAAATGAATGCTACCCACCAGGATTGTCATCTGAGCACAAAGACTTGGCTCACATATGTCACGATAATGCAAACTGTACCAACACGAAAGGATCTTACTACTGCACGTGTCTTAATGGTTACTCTGGATTAGGAGACATGTGCACAGGTATGGTTCTTTTAAGGCTTTAAGGCGCTGTAAAGACTCATGATGAACCTGGAGTTTCTTGCCACGGAGATTCACAATAGAAAACCTTAAGACTTAGGATAACCCTTCTAAGAAGAAAACAGTGAAGAACTTGAACATTGTGGATACATCGAGTAAAACAGATGCAGTTATTTTAACCTTGTCATCATTAGATATCGATGAATGCGGTACTGGTACGCACAACTGTCACGCTGACGCAAACTGCACCAACACCAAAGGATCATTTTATTGCACGTGTCATACTGGATACTCTGGAGATGGGGCTAGTTGTGAAGGTAAGTTCAATGGACGGCAATTGTTCGGTAACAATCGCGCTTAAGCTTATATTAGAGTGGTTTAGCAAGAGGACGAGAACGTCATTTCAGAACGGCGCGCGCAGCAAAAATGCCGAGAAAAAACTGGGTCGAGAACGCCGTCGCGTTGTGTAGAAAAGTGACTTAGCAGTCGTTTCAACGAACCGTCCATGTTATATTTGTTCTTGAATATCCTAACGTTGGCTCCTTAGGATCATTATCAGCTTTGAATTTTCGGTTTCATAGACCGCTTGAAGGACAAAGAAATTATCCTATTTGAGATTCACTCTAACAAGCACAAACCCAGGATAGTTTACTGCAAGTGAGTTGTTAATATGAATCCACATGGGCAAGTTTATATTCCATTCCAGTTAAGACTCGAGTCTGCAGATTCATCTATCAAATTTTGAAGCCCACTAAATATTTTTTTCTATGATTTGTGATTTGTATCGCTGTCATCCATTTCGTGCTTCTAGATTTCAGCACTACTCGTTTTTCTTCATAATTTTGCAAAGTATAATTTGGAATTGAAATCGTCGCCGTTTTTTCCCTTGTTTACTGAATATTCTTCTCTATCAAGACAGTGCACCTCTTTTGAGCACCACCTTCTTAGAGTTGCATTGCATTTTGTACGGAGTTATCAGGAGTTATGGCGAAAACGTGTAGAGATAGAGTTGTTTACAATGAGTTCCCGTTTAACTACGAACGAATGAAATGCACTCAAACTAGTCACCAACGAAACGGTTAGACTGAGAAATCAGACTTAGTTCCTGTTTTATTTTGTTTTTGTTTCATTTAATTTTTTAACGAATAAAGTCGTTCAAGACTGAATCAAATTAATAGATTTAGAAAGCCGTGCCGAAATCAAGTTGATTGTTATTTTCTTTCGTAGATGAAGCCCAAACCCGAGCTATTCTCAAATTTTTTTTATCTCTGACTTCAATTCGCAGAACACTTTTTAATCACAGTTAAAACGACAATGACAACAAATAACACTGAATAATATAGCAGGTAACCTTCGTGTTGTTTCATTTTGATAAACTTCAACATGAAGCAAGTTTAATTTATTGATGAATTAATTCACGATAAAATTAACAGCGCCCGTTCTTAGAGTTTTCATACACGATTTAAGAAATGTATCAAAGAAAAGCCCTTACGTTGCTTAAAGCCACGCTCAATCACAAAAGGTAACTGAGACCTAAAATCTTAGATCGCTTGCTAACGATCGTGTTTCCTTTCGGTAATCCAGAATAAATGTAGCGGTAAATTTTCACAAATTCACCGAATAAAACAAAGAAAGGAACTGGTTATCTTGGAAATGAGTTCTGAAATCATTTCAAACAGCATTATCTCGTTTATAAGTGCACAATTAACGCAAATCCTAGGCGTTTTGATCACGACAAGAAAACCAGGGAAATGACATCCTGAACTTGATGGGGAGAACGGCAACGCTAACACCGGAAGTCGAAATATAGTCGTGTCCAGATTATCCGCGCGCTTTCCCGTTCTGAAATGACGTTCCCGTCCTCTTGCTAAACCACTCTATTGAAACGAGATGTGTCTTCTTCATTATCGTGGTGTACTCTATATTGAGTGACCGTCTTACTTGGTGCATATACATATATGTATATTTCGTGTTCAAAAACTCAATTCACTTTAAAGTACTGTAACAATACAAAGTTTCATCTCTATACAGTATAAAGAAGCCTTGTCAAAACAGCCATGTCAGTTACTTTCACTGCATACATATCAAACAAACATAGTACCTATCTAGTAAAATACTCCCTCCATAAACGCGAAATCATACATGCATTTATATGATCATTACGATCCTGGTCTTTTTCTAGCCGTTGCAACACATATTGGGCTATCTGTATCTTCGTTATCAACAAAAATGTTCCACCGAATCAATTAAAAAAATAACTCATTAATGAAGTAGCTTTTCTTTGCTCACTACAGATATTAGTGAATGTCAGATTCAGAGCCTCGCATCTCATCACATCACTCAGTATTCCCACACTTGCCACAATGATGCAAACTGCACAAACACCAAAGGATCATTTTATTGTTCGTGTCACCACGGATATTCAGGCGATGGTGTGAATTGTTCAGGTAAAAATAAAAAAAGTGTTCGTCAGAAATTTCCGTCTCTTAACTTTTCACTCCTTAGAGCGACCAAAACGAAGTTCATCCAACGATATCAATACATTTTCAAGGATAAAGGCGATAAAGAAAAGAAGGACATCACTTAGGTTATAATATTTGGTTGGACGCGAAATTCTTGGAGCTGACGTTACATAAGATGTATTGTATACAGCGAGGAGAATTTTTTTAAGATCCTGGGAACGAATGGGTTAGCAGAAGAAGACAATTCAAAGCCAACAAATCTACGTTCAAATGACATAGGGAATCCCGACTTGAGCAACCCAGTTATAAACCTAATAAAGTTTGAATTAATTCCTCCCAAAATAGTCTGAGACATGACGCAAAAAGAAAGTAAATGAAATGTTATTCTATGATAGATGTATAGAAACTCTGTGTAGGCCTTAGCTCAGCAAAATTCGATAAACTAGACACTCAGTAATGTTTAAAAATGTTTTAATCCTTTTAGATATCAACGAATGTTTCCCTGATCTGATTTCTGATGAGCATTCTGATATGGCTCCCAACTGCCATGTCGATGCTAACTGCACCAACACAAAAGGATCATTTTTCTGCACGTGTCTAGATGGTTATTCTGGTAACGGAGTTTCATGTGTAGGTAGGTGATTCTCGTGAAAGATATGCTGTCATCAGGTGTAAGCTCTATCGGTATTCAATTGAAGTTGATAGAAGGTTAAGATTTATCGTACTTTGAAGTTATCGCTCCAATGCAAGATCGTCATTTATGAAATAATTATGGTTGAGTAAATCTCAAACTCCCTTTTCAATGTGCCAGTCTCGACACTAACTAGCTTTTTCCAAAAGGTGAATAGCCATTTATTTAGGAATATTATTAAGTGCTATTTAAATTTCACAATTTGGAACCTAATTCACGTGCGCTAAATTTTAATCCAAATTCATCAGGTTTTTTCAAAACTAATTTGCCACAAAAGTTACGTCCTGACTTAAGACTTACTTTCATCACAACACAACAGACTCGTTGTCATTGAGGACGTAGTCCTCTTGCTTACAGCTTTACTGGGGGGATTCTAAAGAAATCGTGCGAAGAATCTGTTTAACATTTAGGAAATTGTCTGATTGCTACAAAAACTGATTTTGAGAGAAAATCTGAGGTGTGAATCTCTTTAATTTACATCAGTTTAAAGAAGAAAGCATTTCTTAAATGAAAGGTATTCCTTTTCCACTAGAAAAGAAATGTTAATTTTAGCACAAGAAGGGTGTCGTTCATGATGTCGAGACTAAGAGAATGTCCAGGCTCAAGAGGAAAACGCCTTTCAAGACAAAACTGAAAAAAGCGAGGGAAACGCTCGTTGTTTAAGTAACCTCACCGGAGGGAGTTTAGTCTCATGGTTGTTGAACATGGATGGTTAACTGGGATGGAAATGATAGCGGAAATTGAACAAGCAAATGAGATAAAAGGAGATGCATTTGAGAAGCAAAAACGGTGGCAGCCTCAAAAACCAAGCATCACTTCAGTGCTGCATCATATCCATATCTCCGATTTCGAGAAGTTGCCAACTAAGTAATATATTTACGGAGAAAATTTGAAGTAGGTGACAGGCGTGTTTAAATGGGCAACTGTAACTGATCAACTGACGTTTAAATATTGTCAAATTTTTTTCTTCTTAACTTCATCTGATTTTTATCAAATTTGATGTCGGTGTTGAATTCCGCTAGCCACCTGCTCGAAAACTCCTGATCCATTTTACTTTCTTGTAAACTTGTTATTAGCATATCTTCCCTGCTATCTGAAACTTTCTTGCTCGGTCTCCGTGCACTTGATCGAAGGCTTTTTAATTGAGGGTTCTTGAATATCATTGCACTGAATAGAACATGATAAAAAGTGCATTAGAACCCAAGCCCTTACATGCTTGTATTGTAGATATTGAGGAGTGTGAAATAAACAAAGATAACTGTCACATGGACGCCAACTGCTCTAATACAAAAGGCTCATTTTACTGCACATGTCACACAGGATATTCTGGGGATGGCGTCCTCTGCAATGGTATGTTGTGGGACCATTAGTTTTATTTCTTATCATCCTTTATACTGGTGAAAAAAGGTAATTTGGTTTCATTAATTTGGTTGATAATGTAAATTGGCCACCGCAAAGAGTTTCAAAGCTGAAACATTGACTGACCATTGGCTTTCTTTATGGAAATGAAATACTCATCACAATTTTTTTAAACAGTATTTCGCTAGTTTGCTGAGCAAAATAGCAAAATGCATGTCACAAGAGACACCAATAAAAAGAGATGTACGTTTTGTTGAAAAAGGTGGTGGACATAGTTTCTGTTAAACTGTAAATAAAATATATTTTCAGACATCGAGGAGTGCGCCATTGATTCAGACAGCTGCCATGCTGATGCTAACTGTACCAATACAAAAGGCTCTTTTCACTGCACCTGTCGCCATGGTTACTCTGGAGATGGAATAAAGTGCATAGGTAATTTTAATCCAATGTTGGATTAGGGATCGGTTAATCATGATTGGTATTTTGAATGTCTTAAATTATCCGGGAACCATTTACTTGCATACAATCAAAGTTAATCTCTTGATTTCAATATTCTCGTAAGCTGCGTAGTAAGCTCCTCCGTGCCTACGAGGATTGCAGTTCTCCATGAGAACTGTGTGATGTCAAAGAGCAATCCAAGCTAGAGCGTCACTTTTTAATCTACAAATAAAATAATTACGATTTCAAATCTCGTTGCATTCGACCTGTTTATCTTTTTAGATGTGGACGAGTGTTTCCCAGATCAGATATCTAATGATTATCGCCATCTTGAAAACAACTGCCATGCTGACGCAAGCTGTTCCAACACTAAGGGTTCCTTCTTCTGCACCTGTCATACGGGATATTCTGGGGATGGAGCGGTATGCATAGGTTAGTGGACAGTCATATCCCTTTCCTCCTTCTCGTCACGAACATTTATCATTTTAGGACTCATTTTCTTCTTTACTTTCATCAAAAGATATAAACGAATGCGACGATTTGACATTGTCGTCGGAGCACCAAGACATGGCTCACATATGTCACGACGATGCTAATTGTACAAACACAAAAGGATCTTACTACTGCACATGTCTAAATGGATACTCTGGATCAGGAGAGAAATGCAAAGGTAAAAATGATAGATAACTGCTTGGATTCTCGTTAGCTCATGTATTTAACTATTTCTCACTTGTTTTGAGTATTCGTTGTCACTGAATAAATTTTTATCTCGAGTTCAGTTTATCTGCAATTAAAGGCAATGGCGCAAATTACAAAAATATGCTGTTTGGTGGCAACGTGTCACCTAAATAAGCAGAAAATTCCGCGACTCAAATGGACATAAGAATTTAAAAAAAGGCAGAACGAAAACAGGCCAAAACAATTGAGGAAATTGATAATATGCAACTTGCTACTACAGTCAACAAACCTGTGTCTAAATTGCAAGTAAAAAGGTTTTTTATTCGAAATGGGTGGGATCGAGGTCATTGGTAGTCGTGATAAGAAAGGTTTTTGCTAGTCTCATCATTTTCTGGAAGACCAGCGTGATTCAGGCAATCAGTCAAAAACACTGACTTGTAAAGAGATGACAAAAATCTTCAATCAATCAAAAATATAACTTACTGGAGTAACACAAGCGGAAAAATAATTCATTTTTACATAAAGTGGATGTGAGTTGGAGGGCCTGAATATGAGTCGATCCTTTTTCTTAAAATTTTGAAGCAAGCTGGCATGCGGCTTTCCAGCGTAACTCGTCTAATACTAGTTCGTTTCGATGTTATTTCTTTCGCAAGATATTGACGAGTGCACATCTGGAACACACAACTGCCATGTCGATGCTAATTGTACTAACACTAAGGGATCGTTCTTTTGTATTTGTCATACGGGATATTCTGGTGATGGAATAACTTGTGAAGGTTAGTAATATGGTTTCTATATGGATCATTTATAAATTTCAAACGACGTTGGCTTCCGTTTTTACTGTTCATCCTTCCAGTGTAAATGGTGCAATCAACAGTTACGTTTCTGAAACAAAGTAGTATGATGACCTGAACTGTAACCTGTCATTAGTAAGTTGCTTCTTAAACTAATGTTTTCCCTTCTCAAATTTTACTGATTAGATTTATATCAACAGCAAAAACCTATTGAATAAAGCTAGCCGGATGAGGCTATGGTATACACATCAAACTACTGTGATAGCTCCCTTTGTGGTGCTAATGAATCCAAGATAGCTTTAAATTAACAAAGTTTCCACCCATATGCTTTGTTTCTAGAGAAATTATGTGCCTATTATGTGCCATTTTACACGAGCCGATAATTATCTCATTCTGTTTTCCTTTCTGGCCCAAGCTGAGGTTAAACATTTTACACCTTCTTTGGCAAGAATTGGAAAACCAATTAACGTGCTTATAACGAACGTTTGAATAAGAATAGATGCGCCTTTCCTCAAACTGATTGGTTATTTGTATCGACTAATAGTTATTTTTCGATGCAGATATAAGTGAGTGCGAAACAGAAGGCCTGTCACAAGAGCATAAAGGTTATGAGCATAACTGTCACTCCGATGCAAACTGCACCAATACAAAAGGATCCTTCTTTTGTACTTGCTTAAACGGATACTCCGGAAATGGCGTGGATTGTGTTGGTGAGCTGATGTAGAGAGATACCTTATTGAGTGTGTGCGAGTGTGTGATAGCGAGGGAGGGAGGCTTGTTCTCACGGTTAAGTCGGTCTATTGAGTGAGATGTCTTTGTTATCACTGTTGTTTTCTATCTAGATATAAATGAATGCCACGCAAACAATTTGGCTCAAGAACACGTGGATGAATATTCTCACAACTGTCACGCTGATGCTAACTGCACTAACACTGAGGGATCCTTCTACTGCACGTGCCTCAATGGGTATTCTGGTAATGGAGTTGCCTGTGTGGGTACGTTTATACGGTATATGTATGAAATGAAGAAATTCTAAATTTATATCAGTAACCAAAATGGCGAAAAGATTTTTCAGCATGTCTTTTGAGAGAACTCCTGATCCAGTGTTTGAAGATACAAGACACGTTATACGTGGAAAGCTGTGGTGGGGCTAATTATAAAGCAAGAGCTAAAGCAGTGATTTAAGCTTATTCGATGATGGTTAAAAGCTCACATTTTGCGAGGTTCACCGCGAAATGTGATCAATAATCATATAACCTGGAGTAATATCTACTAAACCATGGAATGGAGAGTTGATACAAAGGCCATATTAAGCTGGTACATAAGAATATTCTACCTGCGTGGTGACTTATTTGACCTCCGTCTCATAACGATGATTATTTCTTGTCAGAATTGACTTACCCAGACTGAAAAAATCCTTTTCCATATTGTTCCGTGGGCTTATTTCGTGTTTTAGGGTCCGATTAATAGTGTGAGCTGCAACTAAAACTCTACTTAACAATAAAACAAGCTCGTTTAGTAATTAGTAGTTATTTGATGAGGGCTCAATCGACTATCACGCCCAGAAATCAAGAGTGAATAATCGAATTGTTTTGGTATAAGTCTACTTGTCGTTCAGAGCTCAACCACAAGATAGGCTCATCTTTGATTTTGTTCCTTAATTTTTACACCTGCACTTTACTCTCTGTCTATCACGGAATAGATAGTAAGTAGCGCAGCCAATCAGATATCTATGTTACTGATCTTCTGGAGAACTTGAATATAGAATTTTTCCAGCGTGCGGGCAACAAAAATCTGATCTAAATAACTGTAGAATCTCTCAATCAATCAATACACTAAATGTCTGGTAGAAGTAGAGTAACCTTGCCTTTTACAACCACAAAACCGTGGTCATGATCCTACCCACCTCGCCGATGTTCATAATGCATCGCCTTGACAAGCATGATCCTAACATCTCGGTCAGAGGTTATAAAGTAAGGAAGCAGCTAGAGCACCCAAGAAGTGGAGGAAAACACAACTACGTCTCATGTTTCTCCCTATACTTCTTTCGTGCTCTAGCTGCTTCTTTCGTGCTTTACAACAAAACAGATTACGGTCAAGGTTACTTTACTTGTTAATTGCGAATAATGTAATTTAACTGAGAAGAGTCACCCCGTGGCTGTTGAATAAATCATTGTTATCATTGTTTGTCTGGCACAAAACCTGCAAGTGAGGGTTCCAGGATATTTATTAACCGCCTTGTCAAGTGCACCGCACCACACAGCAAAGCACTGTATATACGAGTGGAAATAGGTAACTACACATCAAAAACCTAGTTGTTCACAAAAAAATTGCACGGATTTCTAGTTTGCTAGCATCGCCTTTTTAAGGATAAGAATTAGAATAATACCAGATATCAGATTCAGTCTTCTCTTCGCTCTGGGCGGCCTTTATAAGGTAAACAATACACATTACGCTTTTAATCGCAGTTTAACCAATTGCAACTCTCCTCCTCCATAAATTACTATTAGTTATGTTGCACTTTTATTTATTGCTTCTTGAGTTTACCATTTTAGTCCATACAACCTTAATTAAACATGTAGATATGTGTTTTAATATTTTATGATGCTTTCTGCTCGGTGATTTAATCCATGCTCACGATTGTATTACTCTTCTCTTAAATAGTTAGCATTTACACCACTAAAGGAAAGGCAGGACACACGTACCACACGTATAATGTATTGTAAGACCGTTTGAGGGGTTTGATCATGTTCAGCGAACTCTCACAGACTTAGTTTTTCGTATTTTTGTACTTCAGACATAGAGGAATGTTCCGTTCAAACTGACAATTGCCACCTTGATGCGAACTGCACTAACACCAGAGGATCATTTCATTGTACTTGTCATACGGGATACTCAGGAGATGGCATAATTTGTGAAGGTGACTATTGATTTTGAAATAAGATTTTTATAAAAACATGCTTTGAAAAATAAGGACTTGAAATTTTATATATACCTGTAGACTCAGAGCCTTATTTTTTTCTTCTGACTGCCATCCAGAAATAATACTCTCTAATACTAAGGCTAATACTAAACCTGTTGAGATTCATGAGCAAAAATGACACAACGCATGGCGTCTTTTAACGATTCTTTCTATCGGCACCCACAAAGCCAGAAATAAAGGTTATAACTGAGCTACCAGGAAAGCTGCATGTCTCAGAATACAGCCATATTCAACCAGATAACAACACACCGAACATTTCCACAGATATCGAGGAATGTCAAACTGAAATTGACAACTGCCATGCTGATGCCAATTGCACCAATACTAAAGGATCCTTTGATTGCAAGTGTTTTACGGGATACTCCGGAGATGGTGTCACGTGTGTGGGTAAGTGGCGACCACTTGTTACTTTGATATGAGGGTGAACCGAACCTCTCTGTTGAGGAACAAAATCAGCATTTTCCATCGTCCTAGACTAGGATCAAGCTTCTTGTAATGATTGATCCGTCATGAATCTTAAGTAGTAACGTGAAAACTAGAAAACTCTCACAAAAGGGTAATCTACCTAGCTAGGTACCCAAAGGTGGAAAGTAAAGAGTTCTTTTCGACCATTTTACGCGGATGTTAAAATTATCTATAAGCAAAAGATCTGTGAAAGAGCAAACCACTTTTGAAGGGAATTTGTCCATTGCAATACTTTACAAAGCAAGTAAACTTTCACTACTTGTGCTATTCTACACGCAAATCTCCTAATAGACAATGAAACAGTTTCCATGCGGAGGGAAACTTGCTCATCAGAACCTTAGACTGCAAAATAGCTCTTTGTACAATTATCTTAACCCGAACAAGTCTAGAAACTGAGAGAAGCTTAAAGTTTTTGGCTCAAGCCTTTGTGCAATAGCGTTCCTTAGTCCTAACAGAATGTAATGGTTAAAAGGCGGGAATTCTTCTCGTCAGGATAGTAACTGCATAATGTGTTTGCAATATCTAATTTATAGTGGCATCTAGTTTCATAATTCCCTCAGCTAATAGCCCTGACCTAGAAATCGTGAACAGCATTACACTCAGTTAACTGAGTAATTACAATAATTGTGCAAGTAATTAACTAGTTTCACCATATAACCATTTACCGTGAGATAAGATGTTGTGAACTATTTCGCTTTAAAATATAATTAATTTCAAAGTTAAGTTAAGACAAAATGAATTCATTGTACTCTATTTTTAGCCTGCATAACTTAGAGCTGGCTAAATGTTCAAGGAACTTACTTTGGGTCAACAAACTATTGATAATATTACAAAAAAAGTATTTGTCGAGAAGAGATTGGTTTCTTTTTTGTTTGTTGGCTTTTTCAATTTAAACCAGGTCTTAGGGTTTAAATTGAGGAGGAGGGAGGCTTAGTACCAATTTTCCAAAAAACATTTTTGATACCCTAAAAAGGAGTTGTTTTCATTGGAAAGGTCTTCTGTTATTTCCATTTGTTTCCTTTTAGACGTGGACGAGTGTTCAGTCGAACAAATACCTGCTGATTACATTCATCTTGAGAACAACTGTCACGATGACGCCACTTGCTTCAACACCAAAGGATCATTCTACTGTACGTGTCATACAGGATACTCTGGTCATGGTGTCACATGCATTGGTAATGACCTTTCATTAACGTGCTCTTACTGTTGAGTTTGATTGTTTTATTCTGTATGCAGACCTCTTCAATGAATCAAAATTCTTCTATGAAAACGCGAATACTTTTGGCAGAGTTGAATATTCATCCTATGATCAGAGTCCGAGTAGTACTTCTTTCTATGGAGGCTTCTGTGTACATCTGCTGAGGTTAATTTCTGTAAAACCTTACATTTCCCAGGTTCCATGCAAATAATGCAGGTTATGAGTGCCAAATTTTTTCGATGTTTCTGTATGAGTAGAATTAAACCGAATTCATTTTAAAATTCTGCCAAAAGTACACCATGCAGCGGGCTCGCTTGATTGTGCTAATAAACACTCGAATCAACAATTTTTTATAAAGGGATTTTACTATAAAAATTAATGTTAAAAATTAACGACGTTTCGACCGCTCAACTGTCATTTTCAAGTTGAAGGATAAAATTTTTCATTATGCGCTTATAAAATCAATTGTAAAAATGCTAATGAGATGCTGACTAAAACTCTAAAATATTTACATAGAAACAATACGAAAAGGCAAAAGAAACAATTTTAAAAGTGAATCGATTAGGTAAATACTTTTGCACAGATCGAAACACTCTGTTTGTTCAGTTTTGGTTTAAGTTCGTGAATAAAAAGCATTTCAAATATCAAACAGTCTAGTTTCCTCTGACATCTCTTCAAAATCTTGAAATTTTTTTCGATGGCCTCAGCATCCTTTCATGCTCGTCCCTTTACGTGATTGCCGATTGTTAATCGCTTCTGTTCCTCCACACGTCGATGTAAGTGTCGGGTCGTGAAGCCTACCTAGTCTGCATCACACAGACCACACTTGTAAAAATAAACAAGGTTTTGTTGATTAACAATTGGAGGTTTGAGATCTTCCGGCTTGAATTGTTCTTTGATCCTCTGTCTTGTGTAAACGGGCTGGACATCGGCAACAATCACCGAGTTGGTGTCTTACCGCATTTAACAATTTCTGGTCTTTGAATGGTAGGACAATTCTTATATGAGCATCATGTTCATCGGATACTTGTTTTCGAAGTTCACATTCTTGATGGAAAAACATCCAGTTCGAGGAGAGTTTAAACACATGGTTGAACATTGTCTTCAGCAGGGAATGTCTGTACTTTTCTTCAACATGGCTTTGGTAATGCAGTCAAAGTCCAGTATCAGTTGGTTTCACGTACGTGCCTAGTTGGGGGCTATTTCTGATAATTATCATTCAAAGAGAGGGAAGTTTGCCGTTGTTCTCGAGTTTCATTGTGAAACTGAGTGAAGAGGGGATTTCATTCAGTGTGGACAAAAAAACAGAGGCAGATGAAACATCGGGCATTTTGCTCAGCGATTCATTGACATAGCGCTTATACAAAGCAGGCATCTTGTCTTGGTTTTCCACTTTTTTTCTGAAATATGGCACATAAACGCAATTTCCATTAATGGTCCGAGGCCCATAGCAGCCTAATCCACTTGCTCGTACAAATTTCCTTTGAATCGGAAAAGTCTCTTTTCGTAGCATACGCGAATACGTGTAAGTAACTTTGACAATGTTATGAAAATTGGGTCAGCTAATTTCGATTTCGCTTTTTTCAGATATTGACGAATGTAACCTGTCTGGTTTGTCTGATGAATACAAACATCTGGCTCATAAATGTCACGGCGATGCTAACTGCACCAACACCAAAGGTTCATACAACTGTGGATGCCAGGAAGGCTATAGAGGAAGCGGTGAAAAGTGCGAGGGTGAGTTAGACTTAAATTTAAATGCTCTTCATTCTAAAGGTTTGGTCCTGCTGAGTTGGAAAGGGGAGATGTCAGAATGAATAAGCTTTATTTGGTTACAGAAAACATTTGTTCCTTCCATTTGGCACATCAATTTTCCTAATATGTAGGTAGTTTAAGGGTGTGTAATTTTTTTTCTCTGTAAAGGAAGGGAAGAAGTAACCCTCGCAAACAAACCACGATGAATTAATGAAAAGCAAAGTTGGCATATAGCGGCACCTAGATCTCCTGAAAAGGTTAATGAAGGGATTAGCAATTTAACTATAACAACCGTAGAACTGAGGGTGTCCATACAAAGGCTTATTGATAATTCTAATCGTTTCCCTCTGGGGCTAAAGGATTTTTAAGCGCTTAGGTTAGATTGTGATGATATGCCCTCTTATTTTGCGACTTTCATTACGATTATATTAAGATATCGACGAATGCTCAACTGGAGCGCACAACTGTCACGTCGACGCCAACTGCACCAACACCAAGGGATCTTTCTTTTGCACTTGCCATACAGGATATTCTGGTGATGGAGTCTCATGCATTGGTACGTTAACTTTTTCAACTTCTCAAAGAAGCTTCATTCTTTTCTTATGATAGTATTTTCTTAACTATTCCACATCCAACTGTCATAACATCCTTTAACTGGCTTTCTAAAGATTCTATTTTTCCTCCAGATATTTCTGAGTGCGAGGACAAAACCTTGGCGCCTCATCACATCAGTTATGCCCATAATTGTCACGAAGACGCCAACTGCACAAACACCAAGGGATCGTTTTATTGCACATGTCATACAGGTTACTCCGGAGATGGTGTCATCTGCACAGGTACGTAAAGAAATCTGTTCAAGGACGTCAGAGCGTAAAGGAGGAACAAAGCGCAACACCTCTCTTTACTTTGGTTCGTTTTAAGACGCGATTACTTTGTCTTGTTCCCTTTGACGCCGCAGATGATTGCAAGTCTGATATCTGATAAATGATATTTCTTTTTATTTTAAATGCATCCTATCTAGAAATCAATGAATGTCATGTTAACAATTTGGCTGAAGAACACTTACATGAATATTCCCACAACTGCCATACTGATGCCAACTGTACGAACACAAAAGGATCCTTCTACTGCACATGTCTTAATGGTTACTCTGGTAATGGAGTAACTTGTGTAGGTAGGTAATTCCAGTAAAGGAAAGGCATCATGCAACTAGATGTATACCAGAGGTACAATGGCTCATTTATTTTATATTAACTTCGTTGTCACGATTTTACTAGTGTTAAACATAAATACTATAATTCTAGTATCCCTAAGACTAGAAAACTCCTGATCCATAAGCTGAATTAGTGGCGATGAATTAATAACTGTCAGTGTTTTATTAAAGCTTTTGAAGAAACATGAAAGTAAGTATGTTAAACTTCTTCTTTTGGTGTTGGGTTTGAAATTGGGTCAATTATTTTTTGGACCGCTTTAGTTGATGGCCGAACCGGAATTTCTCGAAATAAACTATCATTATTCGAATAATTTAATTACTTATCTGTAACGATTGCCAGTGGAGCAGCGGATTCAACATGTATTAACTTTCATTTCAGATATTGAGGAGTGTGCAACAGAAATAGATAACTGTCACGTGGATGCAAATTGCACTAATACAAAAGGATCATTTTATTGTACATGCCATACGGGATACGATGGAGATGGAGTATTCTGTAATGGTAATGTGCTTTAACATCTTTTAAACGTTTAAGAATGTTAATGTTTGAAAATTAACTGCAATTCTTGATACTTAAATTAAAAATATTTAAAATTTGTGTTTATCAGATGTCGAGGAGTGCACCTCAAACATTCATAACTGTCATGCAGATGCCAACTGCACCAACACAAAAGGATCATTCTACTGCACATGCCGTACGGGATACTCTGGTGAAGGAGTCAGTTGCGCTGGTAAAGTATACTTTTCTCTAAAACCGTGTTTTGTTTGAGAAAGCAACTACAGTCGAGTTCTGAGCGAACCTCGCGCTGACTCGAACCAAAATCGATTTCCCCTGGATTTTCTTCATACATTTATTACAATTTTACCCTCGGTAACTCGAACCCTCGATCACTAGAACCTCCCGCTTACTCGAAGCAATTTTTGTTTCCCGTCAGGCAATTCTCTATTTATTTAAACCCTCGATTACTCCGACCACGTCGAATTACGTCTGTAAATACGTGACAAATTCCAAACAAACAGTGTACTGTTGTCCAAAACGTTTGGTTCATTTCGAAGCAGCCGCGTCACATTACACTCTGATTTCATTTTCACTCGACTTCTCTACGAAGAAATTTGATTAAAATATATACTGTATAGGACATATTTCACAAACATAGTTCCTCTTTCAGAAACTTAATACTTGTTGTTGTACCCAGCATGTTATTATTATATTTCAGATGTGGACGAGTGTTCTCTTGAACTTATTTCTAATGACTACATCCATCTTAAACACAACTGCCACGCCGACGCAAACTGTTCCAATACGAAAGGATCATTCTTTTGCACATGTCAGACAGGATATTCTGGGGATGGAGTCGCGTGTGAAGGTATCCCTTTTGATTTTGATATTTACCTCTGATCCGATTCTGCACTGTTTTAGAGAGAAGTGCCCCTTAACGCTTACCTCACGTACTCCTAGGGCATTTAAGTGTTCTACGCAAATTCTGAAATAATTTTGTAATTCCAAAAAATGCAATTGCAAGTGTGAACATTTTTACAGTGTCAAATGATATTTTTTCTTCCTTTCTATAAAAAGATATTGACGAGTGCTACCCATTAAGATTGTCATCCGAATACCAAGACTTGGCTCACATTTGTCACGATGATGCGAACTGCACAAACACAAAAGGATCTTACTACTGCACATGTTTAAACGGATACTCTGGATCAGGAGAGAACTGCACAGGTATTGTTTTCGCAGTTATCGGATTCACTCGTTCGAAACGTTACCATAGCGCAGAGTGGCTTTTGTTTGAAGGGCATCCACTTACTTAATGGGGTAAGTTACATATGTCGCACTAGAGCTCCCATTTGGGTTCTCGATGGACTCTAATTGGTTGCGGTTAGGCCTTACAAATGCAAATTTACTCAAAATTGCCTGCAGTTGCGAATACCCAGGGGAACCGAACTGTCCATCAAATGTACAAGTAGAGAACAGACAATAGAGTTCCGAGCAATCCCTATGGCTTGTTACGTTCATATGATCATTTGGTAGTCAATCATGTATCTCTTTTGCGCCGGACAGCTGCGCTGAATTTCGATGAAATGCCAGCAGTCTTTCCCCGAAACACCTTTGTGGTCTTCAGAATTAATGCTATGAACGGTTTCAACACAGTTTACGCCTTATCTTCTTTCCAGACCTCAACGAGCAGAAGTTTTACTTATTCTCGAACGTCACACACAATTTCTGTCTTCGCTACTGCCATATTTAATTCTATCTTATCCAGAGCTGATTAATCATTCGCGCGATACTTAATTTAAATGCGGACAATGTGCTTACGAACCGAATTGGACTGCCACAAATGGATTATTCAATCAGTTGAATATAGCAGATATTTATCAAAAAGAAATATTATCATTTAGGAACGAAATGTGGAACATGCACGGAAGAAATCGATACCAGATTAGGACCCTAATACCAGGAACTATTGAACAATTCGCGCGTGCGTCAGTTAGTAGAGCACGAGAAACGTGCAGCCGAGAGCAACCCCAGCCTTATGAGGGCATCCAAACTTCTGATTACGTACACACACGTCAACCACAGCAAGATACGATACCAATTTTTTCTGTCTTAGATATTGATGAATGCGCTTTGGAGACGCATAACTGTCATGCAGATGCAAACTGCACCAATACTAAAGGATCATTCTACTGCACATGCCATACGGGATACTCAGGAGACGGAGTCAGCTGTTTGGGTATGTATGAACAATAGTAGCCTTTCCAGAGATGTTTGCATAAAATAATGCGAGTTAGTTTTCGACTATTTGCTAGAAGAGATCTGCATAGAAGAATCTTAACATTGTTATGTCAAGGACACTATTTATGGCGATAATTTTGTGGTTTATTTCGGGTGTACCCCGTGATGCTCACTATGATAAACGCACAATTTTTTTTACGTAGTATTTACTTTTTCAATTACAGATATTGGCGAATGTCAGATCGACAGGCTTGTATCACATCACATCAACCAATATGCCCACAATTGTCACGACGATGCAAACTGCACAAATACCAAAGGTTCATTTTACTGCACCTGCCATCACGGCTACTCAGGAGACGGTGTAATTTGTGCAGGTAGGTAACTGGCTTTGTCGATTGTGAGTGTGAGTGTGCTTCTCCTCAAATCGTTTCCTTGCTTAAAGTAGGGGAGGTATATTGTGTTCAAGAAGGATAGTAAAGATTAAATAAAACTTGTAATTTAGATATAGGAAAACTACTTGATGTCCAGCGAGCATAGACTTAAATGACTACTTTTTTTTGGTTATTCACGCAGTGAATGGTAACTTCTTTGACTTTAAACCTGGAATTTTACTTAGATATCGACGAATGTCATGTGGACGGTTTGGCTTTAGAACATGAGGATAAATTTTCCCACAACTGCCATGCTGATGCCAACTGTACCAACACGAAAGGATCATTCTACTGCACGTGTCTTATTGGGTATTCTGGAGATGGAGTCACGTGTTTAGGTAATTCTTAGTTCATCCAGAGGAAGTCCTTAGTCGTTTTCGATAAAAAAAACTCCTGATCCATTTGTAACTTTACGTACTAAATTTTTTGCATTATGCATTTCGCAATCATAGCAATTCGCATTCTTTCACCTTTCCGACTGGTTTCCAGAAGTCCTTACTCTGCAACTGGCTTACAGCAATCAGATTTCGAACCAAAAAAACATTGTAAAACGACAGATGCAAAAACAAATTCACCAGGCCGCTTTTCGGAATCTGAAAACCAGTTACCATATACTTGTTGGGTTGTATTCAATACATTTTAACCTTACAAAACCTTTCACTAGAATAAACTCATTAAAAGGAGAAGTAATAAAGATATCTGAATCAATCATATGACAACCCAGAAAGATAGCAAAAACGTTTTCTTAGATATTGAGGAATGTACCACTGACACGGACAACTGCCATGATGATGCCAACTGCACAAATACTAAAGGATCCTTTTTCTGTACTTGTAACCATGGTTACTCCGGAGATGGAATCACCTGCGAAGGTAGGCCATTAGTCTAACAAGAATTTATCATTCCATCGTTTTTGAAATTTTCGCAAAGTTACTATAAAACAATCACCGCCTTGTGACCTACGTGCTGAGATAAAACGGTCAATGGGATACATTGGTATTTCAATGTTACCAAACTTGACTAACACATTAACTTAAATTTTGGCTTTTATTAGATATTGAAGAATGCTCCTCGAATATTCATAACTGCCATGCTGATGCCAACTGTACAAACACTCAGGGCTCTTTTTACTGTACTTGTCATATGGGATATTCTGGAGAGGGAGTCAGCTGTGTTGGTAAAGAGAAACATCTTTTAATCTAGAGGTGAAAAACAAGTAATGAAAAATGACTAAAAAGGAACTTTACCATTGCCTGGATACCAAGCGGAAGTCCATATAATTACTTGTGAACCCTACCGTCGCCTTTTAATGGGGTGACTTTCAATCTTAAGCCTCTCTTTACTGCGAGGCGAGCTTCGAAGATCAAGTAATGTACACAGACAGACCTAGAGGTCGTTTTAAGCCTATTTCAAAATTGAATTTCAGATGGGGCATACAAGGTCACGTGAGATATGTGATGGATTATGAGTAGGTTATCGATATTGGAATATTATTCAATTTTCAATTCTTTTCTTTCAGATGTGGACGAGTGTTTCCCCGAACAGATATCTGATGATTATCGTCACCTTGAAAACAACTGTCATGATGACGCCAATTGTTCCAACACTGAGGGTTCCTTCTTTTGCACCTGTCATTTGGGGTATTCTGGTGATGGAGTCACGTGTTTCGGTAAGTTTTTTTACGTTCTCAGTCATTTTTAGAAAGGAATGTAGAACAGAATAAAGTCCTCGAAATATAGCAGAGGTCAAATTTACATTTCATATCAGTGCGAAGTAAATGACAAAACATAAATTCGAGTTTGTCTTTCTCAAATTGGTTATAACACTCAAATAGCCGACAAACACGTTAATGTACGGGAACTCCCAGTAAGAACATTAGCCATGCTTCGTGTTCAAACTTGTTGGAAAAATTCTTTGCCTCGTTAAGTTTGATTGTTTTTCATTGCCAGATATTGATGAATGCAATCCAACTGCGTTGTCGTCAAAGTACCAGGACCTTGCACACATCTGCCACACTGATGCTAACTGTTCAAACACAAAAGGATCGTACTACTGCACATGTCTCACTGGATACTCTGGAGACGGTATCTCTTGTCAAGGTCAATAATGAATCTGGCCAGAAAATTGTCCTATAAATAACCGGCGAAATCTGGAGAAAGTATATCGGCATGTTGTAACCCATTAACTATCTGATGGCATTTTTATCATAACTGGAGCAGGGACCGCTTTGCGTTCCAATTAGTGAATTTTGTTTCTCTCCTACCATTCGTCTACCCCAACCAACATTGGCTATCTTATTCTCCCTCTCGCACAAGAGAGGGATATATTAATCTTTCTCTTTGACGTAGATATGGACGAGTGTTCCACTGGAACACACAACTGTCACTCTGATGCCAACTGCACGAACACGAAAGGATCATTTTATTGCATATGTCTAAAGGGATACTCTGGAGATGGAGTATTGTGTGAAGGTATCAAATATGTCTTCTGACCACTACCAATAAAGTAGCTGTAAGATCGTCAAGTTGTGGCATATCTAAGTTTCAACATGTCCTCTACCATCACAAACAAGAACGGTTAAGAAGGTATTGCATGCCTTCGCTTCGGTGTTTTTATGCTAGACATAAATACTAACTTAAACTTGAATGAGCCTGGTCAGTTGTGTTGGCGATATCGATTTCAATAACATCCATTTTCACTTAGATATCAATGAATGTCACATGAATAGTTTGGATCAACAACACGTGGAGGAGTATTCCCACAACTGCCATGCTGATGCTAATTGTACCAACACTAAAGGTTCTTTCTATTGCACTTGTCATCATGGATATTCCGGGGATGGAGTCACATGCCAAGGTATGAAATATGCAGTGGATGTCACCGTTTGTAATTTCCTCTTCCAGTGCGAGTTGTTTACTAATCAAATATTAAAATTATCTTTCTAATGAGTTTGCGTCTTTTAGATGTCAATGAATGCTTTCCGAATGAAATATCTGAGGAATATGGCCATCTCGCCCATAACTGCCATGCTGATGCCAACTGCACCAACACAAAGGGATCCTTCTACTGCACCTGTGTCAATGGTTATTCTGGTAATGGAGTAAATTGTATCGGTAAGTTCTGACAGTGGAAAACGATGTTATAACATAGAATATATTTACCCTAATAACGCATCGACTCCTGATCCATTTAATTTATTAAACTTAAAAGTTTCATACGCCTAATCATAAGTTCCATACATTTAACGTTTACTCTGGTCAACTCTTTTTAATATAAGCTTCATATTCTACTGACAGCGTCTACATTCAAATATTGGGAAAATAACTAACTAGCGACCTTTAAAATTGTTTTGGTTCTCTCCGTAGGTCGGCTATAACTAATAATCATAGAAAACAACTCAAACGTTGCCCCTTGAAAAGTATAGATAAAAGCACGCAAGACGTGACTTGCATTTCGCTTACATTCCCACCTTAAAAGTAAATGCCTAGAATGGACCTCACTCAGCCGTTTAATAAATTATCTGTCATTGCAAAAGATATTGAGGAATGTACTACAGACACGGACAACTGTCACACTGAGGCCAATTGCACCAACACCAAAGGATCTTTTTACTGTACCTGTCACCATGGGTATTCTGGAGACGGTGTCACGTGTGATGGTGTGTATAACTCAATTATTCAAATTATGATTTAAATTGTTATATGATGTAATACACGAGCTTCGAGATAAGGGCTGCTAATATTTGATCGCACCCTTTCTGCAGATGTTGATGAGTGTTCACCCGGTCAGATTTCTCAAGAATATAAACATCTTGTGCATAATTGTCACGTTGATGCAAACTGCTCCAATACCAGAGGATCGTTCTACTGCACATGTCACACAGGGTATTCTGGAGACGGAGTTACATGCATTGGTAAATTTACACGTATTGATACTATCACTTTACCAATAGATAACATGGCTGACTCAGTTTTCCCCCTCCCCCTTCCCCTCCTACCTTGCTTGAGTTTCCTTTTAGGCCGTAGATTGTGGTCCTTGGACCGTTTATCATTCAATGTTTTTCAGGTCCTACGGTTTACGTTGCTTACTTAAAAAAAAAAACATCGATTGGTTAAAGGGAGGGGGGAAGAAAAGAAACCGCTCCTTTCTCAAAAATGTATCTTCTCATTACAGACATACAGGAGTGTGCTATTCAAACAGATAACTGCCACAATGATGCAAATTGCTCCAACACCAAAGGGTCATTTCACTGCACGTGTCATTCGGGATATTCCGGAGATGGTACCACCTGTAATGGTATGGTAATGTTGCTGAAACCGTTATTCGTAGGCATTTTTATTTAAGTGACAGTCTCGCTCTCTTTATCACACACAGATATTGATGAATGCGACCCATCTGGACTGTCATCTGATTATCAACATTTGGCCAACCAATGTCATGGTGATGCTAACTGTACAAACACTAAGGGCTCATACAACTGTGGCTGTCAAGAGGGTTACTATGGAAGTGGAAAAGACTGCAAAGGTAATAGTGATTTATTGGCTTCAATTTAAGTCCTGGGGGAAACTGAAACACTATATAAGGAAACCACAATTCATTTTCAGATATCGATGAATGCACATCTGGAACACATAATTGCCATGTGGATGCCAACTGCACCAACACAAAAGGTTCATTTTATTGCACTTGTCATGCGGGATACTCAGGAAATGGAGTTACTTGCGTTGGTAAGTAGGATCTTGGCTGAGTGAAACAATAATTTTGAAAATTAGTCTTTTTATCATGCTATCGAAAGAGAGAAAAGAGTCACCCCTCAAAAAGGCTCTATTTATTGTTGATGCTGTTGTTGTCCTTTAATAAGATATCAGCGAGTGTCAGCTAGATACCCTGTCAAGCAATCATGTCCAGCAGTATTCCCACAACTGCCATGATGATGCTAACTGCACTAATACTAAGGGATCGTTCTACTGCACCTGTCACCATGGCTACTCTGGAGGTGGAGTCATTTGTGTTGGTAACTACATACCTTATGCTTTCTTTTCTTTTGCTAATGAGAAAATATTGATTTCCGAATTCGTTCATTTGAAGATTTATGACGCGAAAGAGGAAGAGATGGAAACGTTGCACTCTTTTCTTAAACTCTTCTGAAAGTAATGTAAAGACAAATTTGCAGTCATCGCTGTTCCAGTTTTCCATCTGTATTTACACCTACGACTTTCAGCTGGGCTCTAACTTGTGGAAAATTACTAGACATAATCAGCGTGTAACCAACCTCAATCCATAGGGAACAAATTTTTCAAAAAGGTTTTATCTGACTAAAAGCTCTCATGGTTCTCTCTTTCCAGATATAGATGAATGTTATCCATTGCAACTATCATCTCAATATGAGGATTTTGCACACAATTGCCATGACGACGCCAACTGCACTAATACCAAGGGGTCCTTCTATTGCACTTGTCATACAGGATATTCAGGGAACGGTGTCTACTGTGTCGGTATGTAAATATAACAATCAAATGGTAAATGTCAACTCATGATTCATGCATTCCTAATCTAACAACTTATCTGCGACTAACTCCTGGTCTATAACCCTAAAATAATTTAACTGTTCATTATGACTCAATTAGGAGGTGAATTTAATCTAGCTTCTTTCCTGGTTTATTTTGTTACCAAATGCCCCCTTAGGTATCCCCTTTCTTAACTTTGTTTTGTTGCAGACATCGAAGAATGTAACAAAGATACTGACAACTGCCACGCTGATGCCAACTGTACGAATACCAAAGGTTCATTCTACTGCTCGTGCCATGAAGGGTACTCGGGGGATGGAGTTATTTGCTCAGGTATCTTAATCTCGCTTTGTGAAGGTCTGTTATTACTTGAAACCATTAACTATTAATTGATACGAAACAATAGTTTGCTCTGTGTTATTCAGTGACCTTAATACGAAACAAGATTGCTATCCATTCTAACCTTTTAAAAAGCTTCTGAATGGAAAATAAACGACTGTGAATATATGAAAGTCATATATTTGAACTGCGGATAAAGACGTGAATATGAAAGTGATCTTCGCAGTATTGAACACTAGTTGAGCAGTAGTGAAAATAAGGCCTGAAAAAATTCAGGCTTGTACGGAATTTGAACCCATGACCTCTGCGATACTAGTACAGTGCTCTACCAATTGAGCTAACAAGCCAACTGGGAGCTGGTCATTATGTTGGTTCCAAATAAACCCGTGAGGCGGTGAATAGACGACTGTGAATATATGAAAGTCATATGTTTGAACAGTCGTTGTTAATGTTAATGTTGTAGATCTGAACGAATGTGTCATTGGGACCCATAACTGTCATGCTGATTCCAACTGCTCGAACACAAAGGGTTCATTCTACTGCACATGTCTGACTGGTTACTCGGGAGATGGGGTCGGTTGCGTTGGTATGTATGGAAACGTTTGTTTTATGACTAACGATAGCATTGACCAAGTATTATCTTAAGGGACGTTACCATCCATAACCGCCGCTTCGAATATTTTCACTTATTTTATTGGTTTGAATATTTGAATTCATGCATTATGAAAGAGAGACAAAAAAAATTATGTGGTAATAGAAAACCTGTTTACAAATACATTGATTGAAACACAAAAGAAATTAAGAGTACGCTTACATAAAAAAAATTACGAGAAGTATACTTTTTTATTTCGTTTGATGTTATATCAATATCCTCATTAATAAAAATTCAAAAAGGCTGAAATGAAACAGATATCGAGAATCTCACTTTCTTAGAATGTGAGCATTTACGTTCTTCATAACATGTATGATCAGAATTTAGATGCTCTTTTTTATGATATTTTTTTCAGACATAGACGAATGCTCTCCTGGTAGTATTTCTGATCAGTATAAAGATCTTGCCCACAACTGCCATGTCGATGCCATTTGCTCCAACACAAAGGGATCATTCTACTGCACATGTCATAAGGGATACTCTGGAGATGGAGTTATTTGTCAAGGTAACTAAAGAATACTACGTCTGTATGGCGGAACCTGCTTTTTTTCCTGTAGCTTCGGACAAATTAATTGACGCCCATGCATTGATTTCTAGTAAGAATAGTGTGTGATTTGCGATCCTTGCGATTGTATTTTTTTTCCACAGACGTGAACGAGTGTTCCCCTTCTAGTCTGTCATCTGAATATCAACATTTGGGAAACATTTGTCATGACGATGCCAACTGTACTAATACCAAGGGATCATACTACTGTACCTGTTTAGTAGGGTATTCAGGGGATGGAGTCACATGCCAAGGTGAGATATTTCTTTATCTTTTCCCAATAGCAACTTCATTTAAAACAGGTTTGCTGAGTTTTGACGCCTTGGTCTTCTTCTCCATACACAGATATCGATGAATGTTATCCAGATAGTATCTCTGATAAATATGAACGTCTTGCTCACAATTGTCATCCGAATGCAAATTGCACCAATACCGAGGGCTCATTTTATTGCACGTGCAAAACTGGTTTCTCCGGCGACGGGGTCACGTGTGAAGGTAAGGTGGTAAAACAACGCACCTCTCGACATTGCTTCTTTTGAAGCTTATTAAAACATATAGACATGACTAAAGATTTCTCGAGAACACTTGTTTCCTATTCATATTTGTTACACCATAGATATCAACGAATGCCACCCAGATGATTTAGCACCATCCCACAGTTACTATGCTCACAACTGTCATAATGACGCCAACTGTACCAACACAAAGGGATCCTTCTTCTGCACTTGTCATACGGGATACTCAGGAGATGGAGTGATTTGCGAAGGTACCAATAAAATCCATTGTTTCCTCAAGTCGGAAAACATGTTTCAAAATATGTTACAAATGGTCCTTCTTTACCTCCTTAATCTTCCGCAGTCATGTCACGTCATTTTTTTTTCTTTTTTTTTGGGGGGGGGGCTGTTCGAGCCTCTCATCTAGGGGAGATGTGGGAAAGAGCGGCAAGTGACAAACAGTGGTTGCAGCTGCCTCCATTTTTTCTTTATCTGATCTCGGCCATTTTTCGCAGAACCGCCCGCTATTTTGCTTATTTCCTTTGAGCGAGTGCCTTGGGCGACGAGCCCAAAGAATGAGTATAGTTTATTTGAAAATGTATCGAACTGACACCATTTCCTCTACGATTCAAGTATTCTATATTCCAAATGTATAAGAGAAGCTTAAATTGAGGGAGACCTATGTTGTCTCGGGGGGTTTAAACATATGATTCACTTACTCTTTGATTAATCCTTTTATCTCCTCAGATGTGAACGAATGTCACCCAAGTGAAATCTCTGAGGAATATAAAAACCTTTCTCACAATTGTCACGTAGACGCCAATTGCACCAACACCAAGGGCTCATTTTTCTGCACATGCTTAAATGGGTATTCAGGCGATGGGGTCATGTGCATTGGTGAGAATCAGTTGATGTGAAAGTGTAATGAATTAACGAAAATTTAGTTAGCTGCATTCATCCAAACTGATGATGTAACTAAGGATAATTACATAACGCCCTGTTTCCTGTCGCAAACTTCTAATCCTGATCCATATTGCTAATAGCTAACGCTGGTAACAATTCCCTCCTTACTATGCATCAGAATATCTTGAACTACGGTGTATTTGAGCTAATACATAGTCTTGATGCCACTTCTTCAGTCTAGGTAAGTTCAAATGATATTTGATGCGATGCTAACTTGTCGTGCTTCTCATCTTTTGCACGTAATTAAGTAATATCACATGCACTTGACAAATACAGCTCTGATATCAACAATTTGATACTAGTTTTTTTTACTTCTTTTCATATTTTATCATATCAACCTTCCTTTTCCAAGACATTGAAGAGTGTCTGACCGCCAGAGACAACTGCCACTCGGACGCTAACTGCAGCAACACCAAAGGATCATTTTATTGTACTTGCCATACGGGATATTCTGGAGATGGAGTCGCTTGTGTGGGTAAGAGAGCATAATCATGATGTTGATCCACAAAACGATTTCCCATTTGCCATAAAATGAAAAGAATTGTAAACCATCAGATGAAATCCTTTAAGGCGAACCATTCGGTATGGCAATAAAATTGAACAGTGAGACACGACGTTTCGACCAAACTTCGGTCATTTTCATTTGAATGATAGGAATGTTACGATGAATATAAATATACGCGTGTAAGAAGTGTAAAATTTTTTTTGGAAGTGTAAACGGACAATAAGAACACACAAAGAGAAAAAATAATCGCAAGCTAATTAACCAAATTAAAAATAAAAATTAAAATTAAAAACCTAATTAAAAACCTTGTACGAATTGAGTCCGACTGCACATTGAAAGCAGGTCTCAGTTCTTGAATAAAACCACATTTCATAAACTAGGCGGTCAAATTTGTTCGTACACCTCTTTAAATACAAAAATTCTTCGTACGATTCCTTGGGGCCAAAGAATGCTTGTCGCGAAAATGCTAGCCAATAGATGAAGTCGAGTTTCTGTGTTCTTGAACACGTTGGTGCAGATGCAGATGGCGGCGTGTAAAACCAACATAACCTGCATTGCACAGGTCACATTTAAATTTGTAAACAGGCCACTGTTGATTCACAACCGCTGGTTTCGCTCTTCGTAACTTGAGATCTTGTTCGATCATCTGGTTGACAAATAGAGGCTGTACAGTCGTGTGGATCTTCTGACTCAAATCGTTAAGTCGAACACGTACGATATCAGCTGAGGTAGGACAACACGAATGGGGTCTGTTCGATCACTTACAGTCGGTGAGGAAACAGGTTGATCCGATGCATTCGGTATGGAATCCAAAAGAAACATAAACTCAGCACACGTCTAACGAAAACGCAGATGCTACAACCACGATAGTACTTTTTTCATGGATCTTCATAGAAATTTTGGATCAATATCAGTATCTGGGCAACTGCCCACCCACCCCTCCCCTAACTCAACAACAGTCGATTGACAACAAGTTAAGGTTAATGTTGGGTTAACAGAGGGGTAGGTGGGCAGTTGCCCAGATACTGATATTGATCCGAAATTTTAATATTTCCCACTTTTGAAAATTTTTCCTCACTGTCTTCTCTATCTGTCCATTAGATATTAACGAATGTTCTTCGGACATGTTGTCTGTCAACCACACACATTATGCTAATGACTGCCATGATGACTCAAACTGCACCAACACAAAAGGATCCTTCTACTGCACGTGTCTCAATGGATATTCCGGAAATGGGGTCTCTTGCGTCGGTATGTCCTCAGTTAACTTCAAAAGAACTGCTCGCCAAATTTAATTCCCTCATTTTCATTTGTCCACGTGATTTCTGGGTGATTTCCATTGTTCTCTTTCTAGACGTGAATGAATGTGATCCTGATGGAATCAGTGACATCTACAAATATTTGGTGCACAACTGCCACGATGATTCCAACTGTACCAATGCAAAAGGCTCATTTCATTGTACCTGTTTAATTGGATATACCGGAGATGGCGTTCGGTGTGAAGGTGAGACGACTGGAATGGAATATTTTACGGCGACTGTTTAGTTGTTTTCAGTCCATTTTTATAATAACAGTCTCGAAAAGCTCCTTTTTCTCTTAGATCAGATAATAAAGGCTTGCAAATTCAAACAATGAAGAGGTCACGAAACGAAATAAACTGGATTAACTAACCTTTTTCCCCCAAAATTCACATAAAGCACGGCTTGAGCACTTCAAGTCATCAGGAATTTTGAAGAACAAGCACCATAGAGATTTTAAATTGCCACGAGTGTAACGAACTTCCACTCTTAATGGCCTCTGAGCATGGTATTTTATACAAATATGTTTGTACAAGTCTCCTATTTCAAATAGACATCGACGAATGCTACGCAGAAACCGACAATTGTCATGCTGATGCAAACTGTTCCAACACCAAAGGATCATTTTACTGTACGTGTCACACGGGATATTCTGGAGATGGGGTGATTTGCGAAGGTAAAATGAGGATAACTTTAGTTTGAAAACTCTTCAACTCATAACTCGAAATTCAATTTTTATCAGACTGTAATATCCTTCATACAATAGATCTCCCCTTCCTTTTTCCCGTCCTTATTCGAGAAGACTGCAACGTCTAACCATTTGACAGATGTCACAACAAAGGCTACACATTCTCCTCGGCTATTTTAATTTAAGACCCTAAATGTTGGTGCGGTCTGGGGCTTGAACCCTCGATGATCCTCCCACAAGGCAGTCTGGTGCTCTAAACCTGAACTATCCAGGCGGCGGCGTTATCTAGTAATGAGAATTAGAATTTCTACAATATGTTTACCATAGAGGTATTAAACATGTGATATATTACGTCTTTAAGTCTTTTCACGTTGATTTGCCAATATTGCGGCACACATCGAATATCAAACGCTTTTTTACATTTTTTTAGACATCAACGAGTGTTCTCCACATGATCTGGCGGCCAACAACTCACATTACGCGCATAACTGCCATGCTGATGCTAACTGCTCCAACACCAAAGGATCATTTTACTGCACATGTCACGTGGGATACTCTGGAGATGGTGTTATGTGTTTGGGTGAGTTTCCATATGCTGACGTATATATTTACTTCGGCTTTTTTAACCTTTTCAAGACTCAAGGGATCATTTTAGATTTGTTAAAGTTATTTGTAATTATAAAACTTAAACCATCATTTGGCATGTCTTAAATTATTGTTGGACCACTTGAACCACTTTCTCTAGATATCGACGAATGTGAAACTAGCACTGATAACTGCGACGTGAATGCCCACTGCAACAATACCAAAGGATCCTTCCGGTGCACTTGCAAAGTTGGCTATTTTGGAGATGGCGTTGTGTGTAAAGGTGCGTTATCTGTAAGAAAACGAAATCTGTAAAACGAAAAAAAATTATCGTGTTGATAGTTAAAGCGGACAGTTTTCTCTTTCGTCAGGACACTCGCGCCCTGACCTACTTAAGTCATTTAAAAGATCGATTCATGTTCTTGAATTTATTTTAGTATTCAGCATGAAATAACACGACCAGCTCTGAATAATAGTAATTTGAAATGAGGAATTATTAAAAGTTTACAGTGGAATAGTTAAGTTGTGTATCACATTCGCTGTCGTAGATATCGACGAATGCACTGAAGACATACATAACTGCCATGATGATGGTATTTGCATCAACACAAATGGATCATTTTATTGCCTTTGCCAAGAGGGTTATACCGGCGATGGCGTCAATTGCACAGGTAATGATTTTCGTGATCGAACCCAATTTTTTATGATTTCCCTCTTCGTATGAGCGTGTGTGTTTTCACTTTCCGTTTTATGCTCTACCTGAGGAAAACCTTGATTCATGATCTTACAGCGCTGTAAGGCAGTAGTAATTAACCATTATTAGATGAGGTTGAGCAAAAAAAAAACTGATTTCTGGACAAAACTACGCACGAGTAGGATATGTCAGTAAAAGCCAATTGATGGTATTAGGCATGAGTGTACCATACATTATTAGGCAATTGTTTAAAAGACAATGAAAAGAAGGAAAAATTAAACGGGTGAAAATTTATAGTATCTGACTTTGCAAAACGACACACTAAAATTTGAAGCTTTCAATAACTGGAAACTTATTATCAAAGTTAAGAAACGAAAAAGGATAATACGGCATAGCAGCAGATGAATTTCTTTAGCATAAACCCTCTCTCTAAGTTCTGAGAGGAACTTCATTTTATTGATCTCAGTTCTACCGAGTCATTTGACACCCATTCTCCAATATGTATCCTTCTTCCTTTTACCAGACGTGGAAGAGTGCAGCCTGAGCATCCATACCTGTGATGAACACGCAACGTGCACCAACACAAAAGGATCATTCACTTGTGCCTGCGATCGTGGTTATCATGGCACAGGCTACAAGTGTGTCGGTGAGACTAGGAATAGACGCTTAGTAATGGATTGATGTACTCGACTTGTGCCAAAATACCCGATAACATACTCAGTTTTTAATCTATGGATCTGTTATTTTAGATACTGACGAGTGTAACTACGATTTGGATGACTGCCATGCTGATGCACTTTGCATTAATACCAATGGATCCTTCAACTGTACATGTTTGAAAGGTTACTCTGGAGATGGTGTTTTCTGCGAGGGTAAGGGGAGAATAGAATATTTTCTTTCTTATGAAAGCAGATTACAAAATTAAAAGGGCTAAAACACTTCTGAAGAACAGACGAAGAATTAGTTATTAATAGTGAGTATGAGCATGATGTTTACAGAAACGGCAAATGGCAAAAATGAACTTTAATTTTTCCTAACCTACTCCATACTCCTTGAAAATTTCATTCACTCCTTTTATTGTTGTTGTGTTTTTAATTTTGCACATTTACTTATAGGAGAAGCTTTTAGTTTTAGTAAAGACTAAAGTTTGGCATTACATATTTTCAACGATAAGGAAAATTACAGCTTTTTCTCAGATACATCCTTCAGTCTGGATGGAGCCGATGATTAATGGTTGATGTCCTTTTAAAAAAATGCATCTTTTTAGATATTGACGAATGTGAAACAGCAACGCACAACTGCAGCTGGGGTGCTTCGTGCAACAATAGGAACGGATCTTTTTACTGCACCTGTTCCCCTGGATTCTCTGGGGATGGTTTCCGATGTGCAGGTGAAAATATGATACGTCTATTAAAGTAAATTTTAATTAACCCACGTAATTCGAAAGTGAGAATACAGTGTCCTTTCGATTAATCAAAGGAAAACAAAGCAAAACATGGGAAACTAAGAGAACACGAATAACAGTGTCTTTCATTGACGCTCACATTTCGATTCATGAACGTGTCCGCAAGAAATCGCTTGTAACTGGATGAAGGCAGTTAAAAATATTGAAATGTGGACGTATCTCACCGTATGTACATTCTAGCAGATCAGCTACGTTTATCATATTTCTTCTTTAAAAATTATCCATAGGAATCTTGCAGTGCATAGCATGTACCTTGGTGGCTACTTTTATTGATTTTTTTCGTTTTTGGTCCATGTACCTTTCTGGCAGATATCAACGAATGTGAAGTTCTAACACACAACTGCCATACTGACGCCGAATGTACCAACTTGAACGGTTCTTTCTACTGCACTTGTAACCGCGGATTTCGTGGAAATGGAACAGATTGTGAAGGTGCCTGTTTATAAAAATTCTGATCAAACTTTATTTTTCAGTCATTGCCTTATCAAAGCTGTGTACGCTGCATGGCCTACCTTATCCAAAAAGATGCATTTCATCGTTACATCCCAGGTGACCATGTGACCCCACAGCATACACCGACACACATGTTGATATCCGCCCATGATATAAAGCAGGATATTACAGGATAAAATCAAGAAAATGGTTAAAACAGCTGCATCTTTGTACTGCTGATGAAAAGTAAAACAAATGACTATTTCTCCATCTATTTAGCATTTTAGCGGTCTTTAAAATTAACGTTCTCATAAACATATTGGCGCCCTTTCACCAGCTCGATGATTTTATTTTTTTTAAAGATTTGGACGAGTGTTCAGGCAAGTCACATAACTGCAAGGGATCGTCTATTTGCAATAACACGCACAGCGGCTTCAACTGCATTTGCTTGGCAGGATATCGCTATAATGGTTCCGATTGCTGGGGTATGTATCTTGCACCAAGTTCAGCGTAAAAGAAATCTGTCCAATAAAACCGAGGCTCAAAACTCTTCCGCGCTCGATTTGAGTACAAAAATTCTTCAGTGATGATGGTTGACGTGGTATAAGTTTTAAAGAGGATTGGTTCAACAGTAAAGAGCACGGAGGCCCCCTCATTTGAAACACTTTTATCGCTAACTCAGCGGACATGTTGAAACAGTGTACGAAGTTTCATCGAAAATCTATCGCAAGCTGTATTTCCAGGGAATCAGCTTGATGGTGCATACTACTGGGGTATTAAGGAGACATTTGCCTTGCAACATTTTTCATAAGCTTTGCAATGATTCTCGATTGAAATTCTTGTATATTTACACTTTTGGTGACTTCTAAAAATGTTGTTCAATAATACTGAAATCAAAGCGATAAACAAGGAGACTGAGTACAGCCAAGGGGCCTGACGTTTTAGTTATTTACCTCAAAATAGTTTCCTTGTTTTGCTTTCCATTCAACTTTTTTTTTTCCTCTTTTACAGACATTGACGAATGCAGTGAACAAACACATAACTGTCATGAGGTGTACGGTGTCTGCACCAATCAGGCGCCTTTCTTCCTATGCACTTGTGCATTGGGTTCTAAAGGAAACGGAACTTATTGCGTTGGTTAGTTAAATAAATATTTGATTTCCTAGTGAAGTAATTGTTTCGTAACATTTTTCATTTTAGGGAAGGCAAGCCAGCACTCATACAAAGTAAAAAACTTCCACGCCACCTTTCATACAATGGCATTGGCATAAGGGTTGATTTTGGTGTCGTAAACATTGTTCTAATTATCAGTCAATTATATTCTAGTACAGGTCAGCCCAACCATATGTATGATATAATTTCCCTCAAGCTCTAGATCTCGTTTACAAGATTGACTTAAAGCTCCCAGCAAATAACTGGATTGAGGAATATCGATTTTCCAATACCACCCAATTTCAGAAACTTTCCCAGGAAATAGAGCAAGGGGTACGTATGTTATCAAATATCATAACTTTTCCTCCTACTTTTTATTGTTGTGAATGATAGTTCTTCTTTTCCGTCGATTGTCACCCTCAAACTGTATGATCATATGTATATTTTTTTAGGTTGATTACGTATACACAAGTGATGAATCTTTCTTACGGATGTATGTTGCCGCCCTTCACAACAGGTATTTGCACTATGGAATTTGTTTATTGATAATACTAGCGGCTGCTTAGGGGAGGACACGCTGTGAGGCATTAGACCGGTTTTAAATGTTGTTTTCATTTGAGAGAATCTAAGAAAATGTGATGCAAACTACCTTGAATGGCGACAATAATACCGTGTATACAAGATGGGCTTTTCTTCGGACTTTATTTCAAAGTATCCATGTTTTTTTTTGCATTTTTCGCCAAATAAGTCATCTATTTACTTACTTGTTTCTAGAGCACTTCTCATTTCTTCGTTAGTAAACTGAATGAACTTTTTTTGTCATACAAATACTACTTTTACTGCCCTGTGTTTCTTTACGTAATATGACATCGTATAATTCCCTTTCCTTGAGTCTTCGTTGCTGAAGAAACGAGGGATTAAGCACTCGAATCTGTAAGTAATAACAAGAAGCTCTAGGGACATGAGGAACTTAGGGTAAATGTAGCATTGGTTTACTTAATAATGGACGGTCCCTTCTCTAGCGATGGGATAGTACAGGCTGAGCTCTGGATGGTGTTTACCTCAGATGCAACACTTCCTATCAGACCTCTTAACTTAGCAGTAAAGAGAGAAAGACTGAAACACCTTTCCATAGAAATGGATGGCTATGTTGTCACACAAGTGGTTGGTAAGTTAGATTTTCAATGCCAAAAATGACTATTTTGTATAAGCAAAAGATAAGAAATTCATTGAAATTGTCCATTTTGGTATCTAATAACGAAACATTTCTTGTTGCAGAAAGAGTCGACTGTCCGCTTATATGTTCTGAATTTGCGTATTGTGCAAGAAATGGTTCTTCATTTGAATGTGTTTGCACTCGAGGTTACAATGGTGACGGACATGGGTGCATTGGTAAGGGAACTTTGGTAAACATCTTAAACAACGATTGCACGAGAACACAGATTAGAATTTTGAATATCAGAACACAAACTCCTTACAGAATAAAAGCTGTCTTTTTACTTTACTCGTTGTTAGACCAGGATGAATGTACAGTGAACAATGGCGGCTGTCAGCATATGTGTATCAACAGTCCACATGGGAGCTATCAGTGCTTGTGCAACCAGGGCTTCTTTCTCCATAGTGACAGGAGACAATGCCGAGGTAAGATTCAAAACTATAGAAACTGATTTCCTGTCTTGTCATGCAAACTGAAGTCTTCTTTCTCCACTTGCAGCATCTGATGGTGAGTCGGCATATTGTGCATCTGAATGGAGCCAAGACGTCTTATGGAGTCATACAGTAGAAAGCAGCACAGACGTCAAATCTTGTCCACAGGATCACTTTGGTGGTGAGTTATATCTAGAATGGAGTTAAGGTATCTTGTGTCGCCTTAGTATGCTTTACTAGGCCCTGATAGCCCATATTGAAAACTTGTATGCAACGGTTTCAACCAATTACAAGTAAAATCCAAACCATTGCGGCTTGAATAAAGGGGGTAAGTTTCTAAAGAAACCGTGGCGCTGTATCGGTGGAAGAGTATAACAGGGTAACTTGAAATTATCAACTGAGTTGATAACGTAAATTGGCCACTGTAAAGGGTTTCAAAGCGTTCTGAAGAAGGGCTAATGCTCGAATCGTCAGCTTTGAAACTCTTTACGGTAGCAAAAGTTATGTTATCAACACAGTTGATAATACCATATTACCCTATTTGCGGTTTGGTTCCTCCCATATTTCCTCTTTTTGAAGCTGTTAGTATATATTTACTCTATGTTCATCGATCTCTCGTTTTACATTGCCTATGCGATTTGTGATTGTTTGTTTTTTTTTTTTGCGAAAATCAATAGAGAAATGCTCACTTATAAAGCTAATTTCTCCCTGAATAGTGAAGTGAGTCAATGGATTTTTACTAATATTATTCTTGTCTTTATTACAGTTTAGCTATAATATGTGTTTATGATGTTTTTAATACAAAATTTATAGAACAGAATCAATGGTTGTAGATAGAAATGAGAGAGATGGTAAGTTTTGAGCTCGGTAAAGAAATGGTGAAAGATGTTTATTTCGTCTTGTCACGAGCGTGGGACAAAGAAAAAATTCTGAGTCCCCATGAGGAATCGAACCTCAGATCTTCGGATTCCGCGCTCCGATGCTCTAACCACTAAGCCACAGAGACTCCACGGTGAGCGAGGTCTATTACGAAGTTCATATGACACGCTTCCTGCATACTGCTAGGATCAGCAATGTCGGAAGCGCAATGTTTGTAGATAGAAATAAGAGAGATAATAAGTTTTGAGCTCGGTAAGAATCAGTGGTGTATGTAACTTGCTTCCCGAAAGGTACATTTCTTTCTGTTTAACAGGAGATGCGCAGAGAATTTGTTACAGCGGTATCAGTAGCGGGGTGTGGGGAGTACCAGATCTCACTCGCTGCTTGACTAAGGCAATGTATGAACTCCAACAAAAAGTAAGTGATTAACTTGTTTATTTTGCGTTTTCTTTGTTTCTTAATCTGTTGCAACCGGCGTGCACTTTTGAGGGCCATACGCGATGGCGTTAGCAGGGTCTCAAAATGTCGTACAGCCCCGCCGGCTGCAATTTAAGTGGAGAAGGGAAGAAAGGAAACGACTGTCATACACTGAAATGCTTATTGACTGACTGTGGTGGGGGCGGAAGGGGAAAATTTTTAGTCCCTGGCTCTCCCACTTAGTCAATAACATAATATTTACACGATTTTTTTCAGTGTGGGTGACTTTTTTGTATTTCATGACCAAGTATCTAACACTTTTTATTTATTGCTCCTTCTTAACAGTTTTCAAAACTTCTAAAGGGAGGACCCAGCTTTTCAGATTTGCTGGGCATTGGATGGGAACTTCGACATATTCTGGACCCAAAAGTTGACAAGATCTATGCAGGAGATATATTCGCTGCTGTGGATATCATGAATGATTTAAACGAAAGGATTACGTACTTAATGAAGAACATTACCAAAGATGAATTAACGAACTTTCTCGAGGTAAATACGTCGCATACTATTTGTAGAATATCAACTAGAGATGCCACACCGTAACACCTTCCCTTATTCTCCTACCCCAGTTTTTCAACTGTTGTTTTGTTATTACCATATAGCCATATAGTTTGTGGAAATATTTGCTCTGATGTTGCAGATCATGGGTGATGTTGTGAGTAATCTTCTTAACGTAGAAAACAGACAGGCTTGGAACGGAATGGATAAGGTAAAAAATTGTTACCAAATACACTTTCGTGTTTATGTACAGCTAATGGAATAAAAATTATTTTTCGGAACCAGAAGCTCACAACTTTCTCTGAAACTGATGAATCAGTTACCGTAAAAAGTCATTAGCATTTTTAACGACCATCATCATTGATTATGATCCCATCGAATAAGTTAGATCTCGAAAATCTGACTCAATTTTCTCCAAAAAAAAGTTGCAAAAAAAGATTAAGGCATAGAAAGAGCGTTGCTTTATTCTACGCGTATCAGTATAAATTACTGAATCAAAATTTTCCTGTAGATTGCGCTTAAGGCCACAGACATGGTGGCTGCTTTAGAGGAGAGTGTTACTGCTGTAGCTTACCAACAGGTGCAAGATATGTTAAACAACGCCATTACAGATCCAGAAAAGTTTCACAATCTAAGCTTGAGAACCAAATCGCCTAATGTTGGTAAGAACCTAATCATCAAACTGACTGGAATATATTTTTTTGCCTAAATTTTACTATATATATTTGAGATTTTAAACGATTTTTATTTTCGTTATATAATTATATCTTCATGTTTATGTACTTTGTATAGAGATATCCATCGATGTGGTTGAGATGATTGAGTTCCGAGGAATTTTACATTCACTGATGTATGATCTGTCTGCGGTTGGTGGAAATGGATCCATCATTCGGAATCAGATTTATTATCCACCTTCTCTCTTTGAGAATGCCCTAAAGGACAAATTAGCCTCAGGTGGGCCGTGATCTGGTGATAATGCAACCTGAATAAACTAAACCACAAAAAATGTATGTAGAATACCTATTTCAGTTTCTTCCTGAAATCGATAGCACCACCACCACATCTATTAGTTCACTTCAAAAGCGGCAGCTGACGAACGGCCAAACTTTGAATTTAGATAGGTTTACATGTTTTATCATTTTGCCGATAGTTTCCTATTTAATATGTCGTCCAAGTTTTTCCAGGGCATTCTGAAAAAATTTTTTCAAGCTTAAGAACATTAAGCCTGAGAGAATGAATGAAACAGGAAAAACCAGGTAATTGATATAATGTTTTTAACTACACGAGATTGCGCAAGAAGTCTTCGCAGGAACCGAGAAATTATTAACCTTTTTTTGTTTTAGGCTTCTATAGTAGTCTTGGCTGCTTTACTGATAACGACAAAGACCGCGCAGTGCCAACTATGGAAGGTACACATGAGTTATTGAAAGGAAGCTTCCTCACTCGCACGGATGCTGTGGAGAAGTGTGCAGAGGTGACAAGGAGTCGTGGTTGGAGGGTATTTGCTGTCCAAGATGGCGGATGGTGCGCATCAAGTCCTAATGCGCAGCGAACGTATAACAAATATGGGACCGCTTTGAATTGTGTCAATGGCAAGGGAGGCATGCTCGCTAACGACGTGTATATCATTAATGGTAAGAAACAACGTGGTGCTGTCTCGCAAATTACCGGATTATTCAAGTGAAATGAAATAACACCATTGTTCTGGTCTTGGATGTGAATTTTCGGAAATACTGTATATAGGGATTAACTTCGTGTTGCAGCATATTTAACAATAGCAATTGACTCAAAGACGCGCCTCATACAACATACAGCTTAAGTTGCCTGTCCTTAGCCGAACTTTGTATCGGAACCTAATTCTCGAACAGTACTTAACTCCTAGCAGTGGTTGTGTTTGTGTCAGTCTATCGTTCTCAATTAAGACCTTCACTAAGTTTTTGTTTTGGTGTAAGTTCTCGAACAGTTGGCCCTCTATTAGAAATACTTTTTTATACTTGCGATTGTCGTTTGAAAGTATTTCTGTCCTTGCACATCATGTTTGTTACTCCAAGATAAAATAAAAGGCAAGCACATGCCGCCGTAAAGCCTAATAGATAGATGGCTAGTCGAGCGTATATTTTGAAGAAAGTTCTTCAAAGCTAATTAGCTACTACCTGATTAACAGAAGAGTGAAGCAATCTTCTGGTTGTATCAAACGCAACCAATATACTTGAGAACTTAAGAGCCACGAGCCCCTTATTAAGCACCAATGCCTCTGATACCAGCTTGAAATGTAAATTTCAACAGATAAAGATTAAGTGCAGTTTGCCATTTAAAAGACCCTTACTTTAAAGAAACTTAGAGAACTGAACTCATCGAATACGATCTCTACCTTTTAAAGAACGTTAGCAAGATCAGTGGATTAATTGAATGCAATTTTGATAACAGCTCGTTTTTTCCCTTGGTTAGCTTACTACACAAGTGTGTCGTCCGTCTTTTACAAGAACTTGGAAGGTTTGCTAACATCAGATCCTCTCTTAGAAATAAGGTGGGAAAACGATAAAAGTAGCTTTTCATTACAAAATATAACAATTTCCGATTGCTTCATTTCCTATCATCTTATCTTTTTGTACTCGTTCAAAATGTCCTATCTTATGGTGGTGGTGTATTTTCAGATCTTTAAAGGAGATGGGAGCAAAGAAGCCCTACAACAGATCGGAGCTGAACTCCATTATCATATCAGGAAGAATTATTTCCGAGGATCACTTTTATCAGTCCCTTCCAGAGCCAATTGCATTGGTGTTTGAGCACTTGGTAAGAAACTTAAGCACTACTTAAATTTTCTTGCATCACTTTCCAATCATACAGAATGAGCCATTGTTTAGCCCACTACAATGTAAAACACAATTTTATGTCTTTTGATACTAATTTTCAAAAGTGAGTTTGAAGCAAATTTTGTCAGACACGCCATTTTGCATAATCTCGTCACTCGCCCATTATTTAGTTTGAGAGCAACGAATTCCTACCAAACGTTATATTTTTTAATAAAGGGGGAAAGTTTCAAAAAAAAACTGTGGTGCTGCGTCGGTGGGAGAGTATAACAGGGTAATTTAGTATTATCAACTGAGTTGATAACGTAGATTGGCCACCGTAAAGAGTTTAAAAGCTGACGTTTCGTGCGTTAGCCTTTCGTCAGAGCGATAGTTATATTTTTTGCATTTCTGTTTTCAGGATCAGAATCACACCTCCTCAGGTCTTTGTTGTTACTTGAACATGGAATCGACGTAAGTAGACATCATCCAATTTGGAGATCAATTCCACAAGCTTTACTGTTTTGGCTCGGCCATCAACGGTACAACAAACCTTGCAGTGACCATGCGGACTACTTGCACTTCCCCTATGCACTTGAAATGGCCTCAGTTGGATTAATAAAGCCATTCTGGCACACGTAAAACGTTCACTTGTCAGTTCCCAAAGATATAAATTTCTTTTTCTTTGCAGTGGACCCGACGATCGATGGTTTGACGATGGATGTTACTTGTACCATACTAATGCCACTCACACAATTTGCCATTGTTCACATCTGACTAATTTCGCTCTGCTTCTGGATTTATATGATTCTCCGGTAAAGTCAGGACCACGTGGCCTTTTTTTTCCTCCTATAATAATTTGTCACATTTTATTCATTTTATCATCCTGAGGGTGTTAAAACAGGCTTTTATTCCTCTCTGCAATGTCTAAACGACGCAGAACAGCGTTCCCGATGTGGAGCCCTTTGTTCAGTGACGAAAAAACTCATTAGCAAACCACTAGAAATCTGTTTTAAAGACTGAAAAAAAGACTGAACGAGTATTGTGACATTCTGAGGCAATAGGTAGATACATAAGGAATCAGATTTCTTCCAATTAAAGTATCTTGCAGTTTTTTTTCAGTTGCAGAATCGAGATTGTCAATTAAGATTGTGATTAACTGTTACATAAACTTCAGTTTTTTTTGTTTCGCATTTTAGCAGATTTAAAAATGAATGACATTCAAATTTTTACTCTAATTTTTTCAGGATGTCATTGAGAAAGATGAGGACTTGATCTTGTCTCTAATGTCTTATGTGGGATGCGTATTGTCGTCCGCTTGCTGTTTCTTCTCAGTGTTACTCTACAGCATCTTACAGTAAGTAGCTACAATCGAGCATTGTGCCATTCCAACGATCATGTTAAGGACACTGATGAGGAAGAATCAAACAGACCAAATATACACACACGTATAAAATAGTGTGGTGTCATAATGTGGATGACAGTTTTCATTCCGGGAGGTTTAATATCTTTCCCAGGCCAATTCGAATTTTAAACATCGTTTTCATTTCCATTTTCAAAAGTAACGATATTTTCACAAAAGCGGCCTTCATTTGTGGTACTTAAACGGGTGTACGGTGTCCTCTCTTTTATTTTATTTCTTTTTCCTCTGTTGTTGTTTTGATTTTTTTTTTTTTTTTTCACCGATGGAGATTTTCGTCGAAAAGACTTAATCTCAGAGTGAAGATACTAAATATATCGGTAAGATTTATGAACGACGGATTGATCAATATTGATTTCAATACAGAACAAAAAAGTGATGTCCGCAAAAAAGAAGTGGTTTATAATCTGCGGTAATCTGTGGCGTTTTCTGTGGGACTGTCATTCAGTTAGAGTGGAGAGCTACAGGATCTTCTTGGGTAGCTCCACTGAAGTTTTTGTTCTATGGAATGTTTACCCCCTTGCTCTCTTTGCACACCTGTGGTTTGTGATTTTCGCTAATCGTGAACAAAACTCGAAATCACTCTTTAACCGTGAAGTAATCTTAAACCGGATATATGTGTGTCCTATTTGGTAAGCTACATTTGCATCTAAAGATATCTTGTGTTTGTCGATTTTCAGGCCATTCATTCGTTTGTTCTTTTTTCAGCCTCAAGGGAGATCGTATACATGTGCACAAGAATCTAGCATTTAACATGGGAGTTGTTCAACTTCTTTTCTTTTTTGGGACCGGTCAAACTCAGAACAAGGTAGTTAGATCAATATATGAGATTCATAATTCTTCAATCGATAAAATTATAAGTCATTTGAAAGCAATATGTTCATTCACAGGAGATTATGATTTTTCATTGTAATCCTTCAATAAGTGAGTGATTTTGATGATTGTTCCTAACTCTGATTTGTCTCTCGTAGTGGTTGTGTAAGGCTGTGGGGATCGCGCTTCATTTTTGTTCATTCACAGGAGATTATGATTTTTCATTGTAATCCTTCAATAAGTGAGTGATTTTGATGATTGTTCCTAACTCTGATTTGTCTCTCGTAGTGGTTGTGTAAGGCTGTGGGGATCGCGCTTCATTTTTTCCTCGCTGCCATGTTTGCTTGGATGCTCGTGGAAGGATGGCATCTCTATTTAGCCATCATCAAAGTACTTTCTACTCAGAAGAAGAGTTTCCTCAAGAGATACTATATATTGGGATATGGTAAGATTTTAATTCGCTCATTTGTTCGCTCTTTGTATTGTAGGAGTTGAAAACCAACTACTAGTTTCGTTTTCTTTGCCGTCAAGGATGTAATGAAGAGAGGACATAACATTCAGCAGTTTTGCTCTTTAGTTAACCTCTCTGTGTTGATAGCTATGCCTTAGAAGATAGTATGATGGAGACCAGGTCAGGATGAAACTGATTGCAACTATTCATTTAGGTTTACCTACAGGCGTGACTGCCTTATCCATGGCTATTTTCTGGGACAATTATGGAGTAGGGAAAATGTGAGTAACACAGTCATTTCAATTAAACTGTTCATCAAGAGAAATATCTGTAAAATGCGGCACGGTTAAATAAGCAAGATCCACCCATTAACAGTTTCAGTTATTTTCAGTCACCTTAATGTGTGTTTCACGTGAAATAGATATTACAGAGAATATTTTTCTATGGCGACCATATCACAGGACACGTGCAAGTTGCAAAAGGTGAAAAGCAACATTCAGTGGCTTAAGCCTGGATTTGATCCAACTTGTTGTGATAGGCGGCTCCTGATTAGTGATAACCGCTATTTGATCATCTTAGATCGGGTGGTAATAGATATCTATTTCGCCCCTTTCCAAGGAGTAAAGTTTCTCAAAGCAAAGGAACGTTTGTATATTGAAGCACAAAGCTTACTGACTTTTAAATTAAAACACATTCAATGCGTCGGGCAAATGATCATTTATGTTCATTTATGACTAGGATTTTGTTTTACGCAGTTGCTGGATGACAGAAATTGTGCTAGTCTCGCTCTTCCTTCCTCCTGTTGTGGTTGTGATACTTGTAAGTATTGATTTTAATCTTATATTTAATTGAACTCGTGGGAAAATCTGCAATCACGTTAGCATGGCACCTTGACTCCCGCTACATCGTGCGTGGACAGGGTTGAATGGTCTGAGAATACTCACTTAGTTCAGCGTCACAAGCTTTTATTAAATTATAATTTTTTTTTAAGACAAATATAGTTATTCTTGGAATGGTCATTGGAGTGCTAATATCCCCAACAACAGAAAAGCGACAAAAGTACACCAGTGACAAGAACTTTATTAACAATATAAGGTAAGAATTTAAGCGTTTTTGGAATTCACAAGACTAAAGTGGAATCAAAACTTATCTTTCTTGCAAACTCATCATAATAAACTTAGTGAGTGTGGATTCTCACCACTGGTCTCCAATAAACACTCATTTAATACCTCACCATTCGGTAAAAGCTGGACTAAGGAACCTGAAGGATCGCCAAGAATTACGGACTACATTCAGTGAAACATGAACGTCAGTCAAAGACTAATATGAACAGCTCTACATGAAAGGAAGTGGCCTCCTCAGTCTGAATTTACTGAAAGCGATATATTACGTGGGTACCCTTAATAAAAACGTTTCTACAAAGCTTGCGTTCCCTTTCTTCTTCACATTGAAAGACAATGTACTCTTTAACGCAACAAACGTGGAGTGCGAGGAACCATTGTTACCAACAGTGGTGATCAGGGTTTAGATAAATTACGAGTTTGCTCAAATTCCACTAAATCTTTGATCAGTTAGCTCAAAAACGAATACTAAGTCTATCTCATCTCTAGCCCACTGGTGTCATTTTTTATTTAGTCAGTGTACGTAAAGTGGCAATAGGGACGTTTTTTAGACATTTTTTTAGTTTTCCTGCAAATTGTTAACTCCTTGTTAAACGAAGTAAAAGAACACTCGTCTTTTTCCTGTGAATGAAATAACGTAACTCTTGCTTTGATCACTGCTTGACAGGGTGGCGCTGAAGGCATCTCTGCTTCTTCTACCGTTGTTGGGAATAACTTGGTTGCTGGGTTTCTTACAAGTAAACTCTGACACAGCAGTTATGTCTTACGCCTTTGTTCTACTTAGCAGCTTCCAGGTAGCAACCAGTAGAGCATTTGCATTCAGACACGTAAATTTCTTGTATTACTCTTATAGCGCGAATTTATCGACAATTAAGTCATTTTATGTTCCTTTGCTAACTTTTTGCCTGATGTCTTTTCAGGGCGTGTTCTTCTTTGTCACTAACGTTGTAATGGATCAAGAGGTACCGCGTTTGTTTGCTGATATGTGACTGTTGTTGGCTTGGTGCCTTTGGAGTTCGTTCATTGTTTTGTTTGTTCCCTGTTTGTCTGTTCGTGGTTTTAGTTTCGTTATTTTGAAGAAGAATGCAAGTCAATTCGTCATGACACTTAGTTTTTCTGTTATAATTTAGGTGTGCACTACATTTAAAAAACGGTTTTTAAAGAAACATTATTCCTGGAGTTTCTTTCGAACCTCTTCAACTCCCAGCGTGCAGGACGGTGTCAGACAAGGAGACATTTTAGCTGCATCTGTTAAAAGGGTAAGAGTTAGTCGAGATTAATTAACTTTTAAACTTATCAACATTATTACTGTATTTTCATAAATTATATGTAAGTACAACTTACAACCTGAATCAGTCGTTAGCAACCTTCAAGGAGAGTAGTCAATTGTATTTATTTCAACAAGCAAAATTCAGAATAAAATTTGGAGCGGTTTGAGTTGGCAGTATATTTGTCCTTCTTAGTAAGGTTTGAAGTTGCTAGCGATTAATGTTTCAGAAAAATTCAAGAAATACGAGGTGCAGTTAAATAAACTCAAATAATTCATTGTTACCTTTGCTAGTCTCTTTATCACCCCTGCGAGTCCTCTTCTGAATGTTAAACAGAAGTAAATTCATTGTGACAAAGCAATTCTAGTGCGTGCTCTAAACGAAATTGTTCATAAGGTCCAGTAGTGCCGGCCTAGGTTTTCATTACACTTAAGAAAACAGACTTTGGCCAAACTTGGCTTGTAGGTGGTTTCTTTATTTAGTCATATATCAATTTATTCTAATCGTTGTATCTTTAGGCTACAGCCTACTCCAATGAATCATTCAGTTCCCGAAAAACCTTTGAAAAAAGGCAAATGGAAGGAAGAAGGAACGAAAACAGACTTTATTCGCCCAACAGTGATATAAAAGTAGGTACACCGAGATTGTACAACCAATTAACGTTACATCTACTTCTACCTACATGAGCTTACATCGCCTTCTCCCACCTCTTCACGGGTTTTACGAAATAATGAAGTGTTTATGGAGCTGTAGCATTTCATCAATATGCAGCATACTGACACTTACCACAGACACAGGGAATTGCCACCACAATGCAGTATCTTTTGCCAGAGAATGATTCATCACAAATTTGTGATCTCCGCAAGATTAACCCTCGGGGACACCGCGGTGCGTTAAATTGCGTCCAAGTTTGTGTTTTCAAAGTGTCTATGTCAGGATTTTTTGGGTCAAGAAAGTGGTGCTTAGGGTTTGGCCAAGAGAAAATAACGAGACATTACTTTCTCTTGCTTTTACTCATGCCCCGAAGAGAGGGTTGACTGTCAACAACTTTTGATAAAATCAATAAAATCTTAACGAGAATAATAATACTGGCCTAATATTTTAATAATGATATTTCCGGGCATTACATATCCATAACTTGATATCGTGATAACTTTGGAACACTTCATAGATAAATTATAACATCTATATGATATGTAAATTCACTTACTTTTGAAATTTGTTCTTTCATTGCAGAGACAGTGGCAGGAAATGAATGAGTACTGATTCTTCCTCACTCAAGATTTCTCATTCCTTAGATCCCTAGATATCTATAATTGTCAATCGTACAGCACTATGTTGCACAATTGCGTTAAGGCTTTACTTTGTAGTTTTAACCATGTTGCTTTCCGTTTAGTCCTAGAAATTAGGTTTGCCGTCTCTAGTTCATTTACTCTCTCTCTCTCTCTCTCTCTCTCTCTCTAGACGAAAAGTGTGGCACTTTAGTCACCTTTTCTCTCCCTTGTTAGAACTTCTTCAAAATTTTCAATGAAACTCTAGGAGTTACAATAGCAGAGTACTGTGCATGTTTGTCCAGAGTTTTACGTCCACAACTTAAAATGCTTTTATCTTAGATGGCTTTTTACATCAAAAAAGGTACAAAAGTGCCAGTGATCGGGGTTTCGCAAACAAAAGAAGGGAACAATCCAATTTCATGTTGAATAAATAGATAGATGAGAGACTAATAAACGCTGGTATATTCCCCCGACCACCCCGCCAATTTTAAACAGGGTATTGAAGAGATTGGCAGAAAGTCGGGTGTAATAGTATAAACTTTCATCTACGTTCAAGTTTACCGTTTCGAAAAAGGCCTAAAGTTTACTCTTTGAACTTGAATGTTTTACTGCGGTCAAGGTATTTGAGGAAAAAGTCTGAAACGTTATTATGTTTGACCTTGTCTACTTAGCATTATGTTCACCAAGTTACAGCTTTTCAGCTTGCGTTGTTTTGCAATTACAGCCACTTTTTTGGAATCATGTCTTGTTGCGAAGCCGCGTTGCAAAAGTGCCACATTTGGTAACATTGAGCTAGGAATTGCGACAAAGGGAGAAATGACCTTGCACAGCGCCTGATTTCAAATCCTTTTGTACATAAACTCTCTTTGTATATATCTTGTTATGCTAGTAATTCCAAGCTAGCAGCTTATAACCAATTCATGCAGTTAGAGGTAAAACCTGCTCATCCTCCATACACATGCTTTTGGTGTTTCGACTGATTTTGTTGTCAAGGGGAAGTTTTAAACACCATATTTTGTACTTGATAATATTAGAATTCTACTGACTTTATAGCATAATAAAATACCCAGTCATCCAATTTCCATGAGCTGGTATAAAACTCCGGGAAATCGGCCGCTTATTTTTAGCGCCAAATATGCATATAAAGAAAGATGAGCGGGGGAAGTAAGGGGTTCAAACATTTTTTTTATTGTTATGTCCCCCAGCGTGGCCGCCTTGACACGTGGTTGCCAGCTAGCAATATCCCGCTGTCCTTTGCCTGATTTGTAAAACGAGTCCTCGTGCGAAACCATTCAAATGAAAATGAGTTTGATTTGCATGAAAATGGACGTGCAGGTGAAACTCAAGGATGCGCAGTGCAATGTAAGGATAAGTTGTTTTCAATTATAAGGAATTAAACAACATGACACCAAAAACTCCAAATGCAGTTTAAATAGTTATTTTTGTATATGTTATCGTACAATTAATTACCTTACCTCCGCTGTAATTATTCAATTTTTTTTCAGGGAGCTGGTAACCCTTCCGGGGAGGGGGGGTACTCCCTTATATGGGCTATATAGGTATGTGCGGCCCCAAAGGGTAGGGCTCTCAGCCGGTTTGCTCATAAATGGGGTATCGATTTTAGCCATTTTGCCGCCATTGTGGTAACTAATAGGTTATCTAGTCATAAATAGGGTATCAAATTTTTGGTTAGGTCATTAATGGCTCATAAATAGGGTAGGGAAAATCACAGATTTTGGTCGTAAATTAGCCTGCAGGCTACTCATAAATAGGTTAAGGGTTTTGGGGAGCAGGCCGCACACCCCTACCCATTTTTTTTGTAACCCTTTAACTTTTTAAATCGTTTCTTTTTTTACAAACTAAATATGTAAAGCAGATGGGTAATAAAGTGTTGTTGTTGTATCAAGTGCAAGTTTTTGAGAGTCAGCTTCTTGAGGCTCGCATTTTGAATTTTGTTTATCAAGTTTCGAGTCATTTAAAGAATTTTCAAGAATCTTGAATATGCATTTCAACAAATGATTTCCAAAACAAAGAACAATAATAACAATAGTGATTTCGCATGGATTCCTTTCACTTCATACAAATTGATTTGAAACAGAAGAGAGAAAAACTACGACCGAAAGCAAAACTGTAGGTGCTTGTTGACTCTTAACTTGCATTAGATATGCCCTGTACTCTCTCTTAGCAGTGTAAAAGTTAGTGAAATTACTACCATGTTTTTCCTCTGATTCCTGTGAAGCTGAGATTGGCTTGGCTAAATGTTTCTACAGTGTAATTAGGAGTATGTCTAGATGTTCAAAGTTTTCTTACGAGTGAGGGAATGGTCTAATTTTCAGGCCTAGTCCTGGTTGTTTAAGGACTGCATATTCTAAGACAATATGAATGACAGTCTTCAGTTGAGGTTCAACAGACGTTATTTGCGAAGAAAAATGGAAGGAAAGGAAAAGATTCGCGTTTGATACTGTTTCAATTTTTAACTTGAGAATTCTTGCTTGTTGCTGTTTAAAGGCCTGGCTAAACTGGGAAATATTGCTGCATACACAAGTGTTTCTCAGTCTTACCATGTGAGAGGTAAATGTTGCAGACTCAAATTGTGCTTCTACGCGTGAAAATGTTCTTTATTTTATCCAAAGTTGAAAGCATTCTAGCTTTAATTTTCTGGCAGCTCGTCTTGCCTTCAAAACATTATTTCCGGCACTGTGAAAACTTAAAAGGAGGATATGTTTCCTCAGCAATGTTTCCTAGTTTTCCCAGCCTCTTATTGATATTCTGATAAAAAATATTTGTTTACATTGAGAATATTGTATTCTAAACTTCCCACGGAAATAAAAGGGGACTAAAACATAAAACGCAAAAAAGCCAATTGAGGACTAAGTGAAACAGTGACTACCTTTGCAAAAGACATTGTGGAGGACTAACTGATAAAGAGGCTTGCTTAAGGAAGATGTGTTTCCGTTGGAGTGTCTCCTAGTTGAGCCAGCTGCAGGTTGATATTTTGATAAACAACTTGTTTACGTTATGTTATCATCGTTAAAAACAGTTTGCACAAGAAACATTGCATTCATTGAGTTCTAGGTTACTGTTTTTGTTCTTTTTGTCGTCTTATATTTTATTAAATGTTGCTTTTTGAAGATTGACTCTCGTAGTTCAATGTTCTTGAATGTCGTGGGTGGTACTCAGTGCAATACACGAAGATACATCTCCCGTTAGGATGAAATTTCAGAAAGAAAGTGATGTAGTCTTCTTGCAATTTTTAAGCAGAAATTTTATGAACTATTACCAGCCTCTTCCTAAAACTCATATTGAACATGGCACATTTAAAATGCTGTATTCTGTGGTTGGCGCGTTTCTCAACCCAGAAAAAATCAAATTCAGCTTGTATTCTTTCCATGTCATTCATGACTATTTAACAATAAGACGGCAAACCCGTGGTTTTTATTTGCTGATAGTTGACAAGGGAAGAAGGCCCAAGTCAACTATCAAAGTTAATAGAGCGCCGATAAACGACACTGGTGCGCGCGTTATAAAAACGATAACGAGTTGTGAAATTGCCATACAAATGATGCCAATTCTTGGTATTCAAACCTCTCTCCTGCACCTTGTGTTTTACTCTATATTTGAGCATTTTGTGGTATTCCTACTGTGTATTATAAAGTGTGTAAACCATGAAAAGAGGTTGCAGATTTGACAACACTATGAAGGTTAGGTTCTGAAAATAATAACAAAAATAATAACATGTAACCCTGACTTTCCCAAAGTGGCACATGAAAGTTGCCAAAATGCCATAAAGGTGCCAAAGTGCCACAATGGTACAAAAGTGCCATGCAAGGTTAACAAAGTGCCACGTGAAGTTAGAAAAGTGCCATAAGGTACGTTAGAATTGTGCCACTAGTTACAAAAGTGTCACTTGAGGGGTGCAAAAGTGCCACTTAACGTTGCGAAAGTGCCACATCAACGTTACAAAAGTGCCTTTTCGTCTAGCTCTCTCTCTCTCTCTCTCTCTCTCTCTCTCTCTCTCTCTCTCTCTCTCTGTCTCTCTGATCTTTTTATCGTCGCAGCAAAACTTGATTGTGATTCGGTTAAACTATTTTTGCCTCTCTCGATTGAGATATAAACAAACCTATAGGTAGAAAAACTCAGGGCCAAGCACGCAAACGTTTTCAAGTTTTGTATTCCTGAACAAATAAAGATCTCCCACAGACATGGTTTGATGCTACTCTGATTGAAAGATTTAATGAATGTAACCGAGAAGTTACAATTCATAGACCCAACGTTTCGACACTCCTGCCTAGGGTAACCGGTCAAGTCGCCCGAGAGTCATGTCGCCCGAAGTCATATCGCCCGAAACCTGAGTCATGTTGCCCGAAATGTTAGTAATGTCGCCCGAAAAAAAAGTCAAGTTGCCCGAAGAAACAAATACTAAAAAGATCAGAATTTCAGACTGTAAATAAGCAATAGCGTTGAGAAATTTTTTATCTCTAAAGCGCTCTTTTTTTCCGACAACACCATGAAGATTCTTAAAGCGTTGTTCGTTCCTAATAACAAAGGGAACCGTTGTTCGTTTCCAACAACAAACTGAAGCGTTGTTCATTTGGTATGTAATCGTTTCTTGCTCACGGATGTTTCGTAAGCTTGAGAAAACTTTTTTCTGGTTTCTAACAATACCATGAAGACTTTGACTACACATAAATCGATCGTATGTTCGGAATCGAAATAATAACAAATACAATTAACTTGTTGCCTTGCGTAAGGTAAGTGTGATATTTTTAAGATAACAGTCTATTGCTATGCTTGTGACTTTTTTCACAGTAGTAGTCTGATAGCATCGTTTCCCTTAGCATCAGCATAGGCAAAAATTATGTAGTTGTGCTCTGTTTCCTCTGGCGGTCGCATGTATATTTTGATCCGATCAAAGTATATATGAAGAGGGTAAAGCTAGCTACAATACGAATACGAACTGATCAAAATGAGCATTCATCCTTGCATTGAATGTGTAACAGTAACAATAATAAGTAATTGTGATGATGAAGTTAGACCACGTCAACAAGCCCTACAGTGCGACGATTTCGGTCGATCATATGGCCTTTCTGACCATATGATCGATTTCTGTATCATCTAGTTAGGCATGTGTGCTCCGATAAAGCTGAATTTTCTTTTTTTTTTTTTGCAAAAGAAGAC